TACAACCTGTCAAGAGTCACAGTCTTGGAAACTCATAGGTGCTGCTCTACTCCGTCCAGTACGGTTGCGTGAGTCGGAAGCGACCTGCTGGCTGGGAATTGGCTTCTGTCAATGCTTGTGTCTGCCAGCAATATAAAGGCATTTGAAGTCTAGGAGGCTGTTTCCCCTTGACTTAAATAATTACTTCTGAGGTGGCTCCAGTTTTGTGTTGATTTTCCAAAATAACTTTTTGGTGTTCTTCCTCAAGAGTCAGGCTAGCAGTTTTTTCAAACAACTCAAACTGCTGCCCCCAGAAGGACCTTCTTAGTTGATGGTAAAGGACCTAATCTAACCACCTCACTAGAAACCTCTGTCAAACGGGAAACTACAAGTGATAAAGAGATGATGACACCGGACAGCAAGGAGATGGAATGCTGTTGCAGTAAAACACAAAACAGGCATCCTGCATTTCTTGCTGTTGACGGGACTTTGTTCTCTTTGCCGTGCCAGCTAACAGTTTTTCCTTCTCAGTGATGTGTGAAGTTCACATCATTCCATATTACTAGAATAGTACAATAAAACCTGTAAAAGCCAGTACCGGTGTATGGTGGAAACCTGGCAGAGAAGGAAGATGCCTACATTTCCCTCTAAACGAGTGATGACAAAAGGGCAAGATAGACCCTGGCAAAAGTGGGAGTCCCCGAAGAACTTGGCAGCCGCGTGGAGTTCTGGTTCTCACAGGTTTCACTGCTTATCAAGCAAAATAGGCTCTGACTCAAAGCATGTTGGTGATGAATGTCATAAATGCGATTCAGTAGGTTGATTGTTGATGTGCGAGTGTTTTTTCTTGTTTTGGAGACTCACGTGGTATAATTGGCTAACCCAACACTGAGGAAATTGGAGATGGTCTTTCTGGTAATGAAAAGATTAAGAAAAAGGCCATGGTCTTTAAGACGCATTTTGATGGCCTTTGAGTGTGTCTTCAAGACATCTAGAATACCAGATGATAAAATTCATGTGAAATGCATTAGCATATCTTAGTTGCCTATATCTTTTGTTATTGGAGAAGAAATGTGTTTTTAACAAACATGTATGTATATACAAAGAGTTAGAGAGTCGCTATGTTGATATTTGTTGTTTGGGAGATAGTGCCATTACTAAGTAAATTGCCCACAGCTTTGAATAGCACGGCACAAGATTTGGGCATTTTTCATTAGCATACAGTTAAAATGGTATGGTATTCTCCTTCAAGGTAAGCAAAAAATATAGTGAGTACATTTTCCCCCCTAAGACAGAAGCTTTACTTTTCTGTTGGTGACGTTTCCTTCCCCACGAATAGAAAGAGACTCATGTATATGACCCAAAATCATGACCACTGTCGGGAAACTGGAAAACCCAACTTTTTACAACTTTTTAAGGAAAGATAAAGGAGTGCATTTTGTTAACCAATTTTTTCTTGTTGCTTTGAACATAGAATAGGATTTATTGTGCAAGGGTCTTCAAACAGTTCATGGGAAAAAGGCACTTAAAGGTAATGGAATTTTCCCACAAACTTTTTGCAGCCTCCCTCACACACATGGCAGCTTGAAAATGGAGGTTTGAAGATTGTTAGCAATGTTCTCATCCATTCATCTAGGATCACATCGAAAACATCCCAGATATGAGATGCTATAAATCAAAATGGTTATTATTTGACTTAGAGGAACAAAATGCTATCTGATAAGCACGCCACAGTCAGCTCCTGCCCAGGGTCAAGTCCCACTCTCTTAGTTTGGATTTCCTCAGAATAGACATTTTAATAAATGTTTCAGGAGATATTTATCAAGTGCTTGGAACCATGTTTTTCTTATGCTACAGGTCACATTCTGTGGTGGAGTTTTGACCTACGTTTGCAGGAACTGGTTGACAAAAGCCATATACAATTGAAATCATTTTCACCGACGTGGTTGTCCTTAGACTTGCGCCAAGTCTGTCAAAAATGGAAATCCTCTGATCTCTGGTCATGATGAGCAGATTCCTGTTTTAAGTATTGTATTTCTTGATTTCTTACAGGGAAGGGGGCATATTCTGTTAGAATACATGTATGTATAGACTTGACAAAGGGTAGTATGCTTGTACTACCTTTCAGAGAATTTCAGTTTTTTAAAATTTTTAATCATTTTATTAGGGGCTCATACAACTCTAATCAAAATCCGTACATACATCATTTCTGTAAAGCACATTTGTACATTCATTGCCCTCATCATTCTCAAAACATTTGCTCTCCACCTGAGCCCCTGGCATCAGCTCCTCATTTTTCCCCCTCCCTCCCCACTCCCCCTTCCTCATGAACCCTTGATCATTTATGAATTATTATTTCGTCATATCTTGCCCTGTCTGACGTCTTCCTTCACCCACTTTTCTGTTGTCCGTCCCCCAGGGAGGAGGTCACATGTAGGTCCTTGTAATCTGTTCCCCTTTTCCAACCCACCCTCGCTCTACCCTCCCAGTATCGCCACTCACACCACTGGTCCTGAAGGGACCATCCACCCTAGATTCCCTGTGTTTCCAGTTCCTATCTGTACCAGTGTGCATCCTCTGGTCTACCCAGACTTGCAAGGTAGAATTGGGATCATGATAGTGGGGGGGGGGGGTATTTAGGAACTTGAGGAAAGTTGTAGTTTTCATCGTTGCTATATCGCACCCTAACTGGCTCATTTCCCCGAAACCCTTCTGTAAGGGGATGTCCAGTGGCCTACAAATGTGCTTTGGGTTTCCACTCCGTACTACCCCCCTCATTCACTATGGTAAGATTTTTTGTTCTGATGATGCCTGATACTTGATCCCTTCGACATCTAGTGATCGCACCCCTGGTATGCTTCTTCCATGTGGGCTTTGTTGCTTCTGAGCTAGATGGCCACTTGTTTACCTTCAAGTCTTTAAGACCCCAGACGCTATATCTTTTGATAGCCGGGCACCATCAGCTTTTCATCGCCACATTTGCTTATGCACCCATTTGTCTGAAGCGATCGTATCATAGAGGTTAGCACACAATGAAATGATTTTTTGTTCTTTGATGCCTGATAAATGATTCATCGGCACCCCGTGATCACGCAGGCTGGTGTGCTTCCCAATTAGAGCAGCCAGTCCACAGAGAGGACCACATGGCCGACCCCACTATGATACATGACGCCCCTCACTGACCCATAGCCCTACAGGGGACAACACCAGAGACAGTGTGCACCCGATCTGATCCCGCCACACCGAGGCAAAACACTAAGGGGGTGCAACAGAACAACAAGGGAATGGAACGGCGAGGTCCCCAGGGAATGCTGAAGGTGGACTTTGGGGCCAGGGCATGGTGACCCAACAGACTGGACTGGAAAACACTCCTAAAAGCCAAAAAACAATCCTTGAATTATCTACAAACTTTTCTTTCTTGTTGTGTTTTTTTTGCCATTGGTTTGTTGTTGTTTTGTTGTATATTGTTGCTTGGTTTTGCTCTGTCTTGTTTTTGTGCATGTTATTATCTCCGCAAGTCTGTCTAAATAAGATAGGCTGGATGAACAATCTGGAGGAGAAAACACTGGGTCCGACAGTTCCGGAGAGACATGGGAGAGGAGGAGGTGGGGGGAAAGGTAGTGGTGTTAACAAACCCAGGGACAAGGGAACAACAAGTAATCCGAATTGGTGGTGAGGAGGATGTGGGAGGCCTGGTAGGGCATGATCAAGGTTAATGTAACCAAGAGGAATTGCTGAAACCCTGGTGGGGACTGAGCATGCTGGTGGGGCAGGAGGAAAGTCAAAGGAAATAGAGGAAAGAGCTGGGAGGCAAAGAGCATTTATGGGGGTCTAGATAAAGACATGTACATATGGAAATATATTTATATATGAGAATGGGGAAATAGATCTATGAGCATATATTTGTAGGCTTAGTATTAAGGTAGCAGAAGGACATTGGGCCTCCACTCAAGTATTCCCTCAATGCAAGAATACTTTCTACTATTAAATTGGCATTCTGTGATGCTCACCTTCCCAACACAACCACTGAAGACAAAGTGGGTTCATAAGCAAATGTGGTGAAGAAAGCTGATGGTGCCCGGCTATCAAAAGACATAGCGTCTGAGGTTTAAAGGATTGAAGGTAAACAAGCAGCCATCTAGCTCAGAAGCAACAAAGCCCACATGGAAGAATTTCAGTTTTTAAAGTACTTGATTAATGTTCGTATTCAGGAAATTGCAGCTTTGTAGAACTCGAAGGTTAATAGTTAACCAAACACACTGTTATGGAGTTGATTCTGATTCCTAATGACCATGGCTGTAAATCCTTTTTTTGGGGGGGCTGTAAATCTTTACAGAAGCAGATAGCCTCATCTTTCTTCATAGCTAAGTGCCCTGATACACTGCCTCCATAGAATATGTGTGCAGTGTAAATAGTTGAAAGCAACGAAACTTCCAATTTTGGAGAAAATAAACGTGAATACCACTTGAAACTTTACTACTACATTATTTTAGATAGATTGGTGACATGGTATTAAGTAAAAGAAGTTTAAATGTCTTAATGAAAAGAAGAAAACTATTTTAGAAAGCATTTTGGGAAGAAAAACCACAGTCTTCTGAGCAGTCTAGCCTGTTCCCATTATAGCAAGAATGGTTTCTGATAATTAATACCTGCTTTCCTGGAATTCTTTGGCTTGTGGTTGATGCTATTAACATATTCCAGATATCTGATCTCCTCCTTAATGATTACATGCTCTTATACTTTAAAAGTCAGAAATCGAGGAAACGGCTCAGTGTTTGCCTTTTGGTGTTTGTTTTCATGAATGTCATTTCTCTGCTTTTTTCATGATTTGTTTTTCCCTTTTTTAATTGATCATCAGGCATTCAGAATTAAATTAATTCAAGGTCTAGTTTCTTGACATGCTCGCATTGGTCCATTCATGGCGCATGTTTGTTACTTAATCACTTTTTTCTTCAATTGAGAACCTTAATTCTATAGACCTTGCTTTGCAATTTGATGATTCATTTTCTTTGGACTTATAGAAAAGTGCTTCACCATTTCAACTCAAATTTGCGGCTAACGTGTCTAAATCTGAAAAGGAAATGGACCCAGAATATGAAGAGAAAATGGTAAATATGCTCTTGGGTAGAAGTTTTGATTAAACAAACAAAAAACCAAACAAGCACGTGCATATAGACTGTACTAGAGTGTTGGTTGATTTGAGAAATAGAAAAGAACTGTAATACATCATCATAGATTTTGGTTTAACTGCTGAATCTCTTCCTTTTTAGGCGAGTAGAGAAAAGGACCAGGAAAGCTATAGGGAATCGTTGGAATTAGAAACGAGGCCTGACATTTGATTCTCTGCTGCTTACTGCAAAATCGGATGGGGTCAAACATGAGAAGGATTGTGAGGATGGTGCAGGGGTGGGCAAGGTTCTGTGCTGTTGCACAGAGGGCCACTATGGGTCAGAATAACATCAACATGTCCTCCAATAAACGAAAACAGTCACCTCAGTGGCACTATCAGTCCTGCTCGGTGCCTGCTTGCTTTCTCTTGGTATTCGCTGTATCGGCGAATGTGTAACTGAATATTATACTTCATAAAACATGCAATATGTCTATGTAGCATATATACTTGAGCATAAGCCGACCCGAATATTAGCCGGGCACCTAATTTTACCACAAAAACTGCATAAAACGTGCTGAAAATCTCGGCTTATACATGAGTGTATACTGTACTTTCTTGAGGGAAAACAATTTGCCTAGTACATGAAAACATTACTTCCATAAGCAGGACAGCCTTCTATATGCATACATACTGCTTTGCATTTAATTATTTACATCGTCGTCATGAAAATAATCATTTTAACTTTAATGAGATTTCTAAGGCCTTGTGATCCTTCCAACCAGTGATCTGGATTAGCTCAAGTTAAAAGTAAGAGGTTACCGATGAGCTAGAGCTACTTGTTGTTGCTTTTTGTTTCCCTTTCTCCTGCACCATAAACCTCAGGAGGAAAACAAAACAAGGATCCTTGGTGGCATAGTAGTCATGCATTGGGCAGAACTCCACAAGTCAGCAGTTTGAAACCACCAGGTGCTCTTTGGGAGAAGGGTGGGGTTTTCTGCTCCTGTAAAGAGTTATAGTCTCGGAACTCCACAGGGGCAGTTCTACCCTCTCCTAATGGGGTGCTATGAGTCTACATGGACTCGAGGGCAGCGAATTTGGTTTTTGGAGATTTAAACATTAAGTAGAGCTGAAGTATCTTTTCTACAAAATTCTGTCTTCATATGTAAGACCACTTCTAAGGTAGACATCAAGGAGGGCGCAAGAATTAAACATTCAGTTGCTCACTTCCACCTTAGATGTGTGGACCCATCGAGTGATTGAGGGAGAAAGATGTGGCAATCTGCCCCCAGAAAGATGGTTACCTAGGAAACCCTATGGAGCAGTGCTCATCTGTCACATGGGGTCACCGTGAGTCAGAATCGACTGGATGCCACCTACCCACAACCTTGTGGACAGTTAATGTTTTAGCAACTCTAAGAACAACATTCCAGTGCAGATAATATAACATGGAAAGTGTTTGGCCTCCTGCCAGCTCTTGTGCTGATTATGTTTGTCTAGCTCTTGCATTTATGGCAATGAACACTGCTGTATATCTTTGGAGGTAGGAGGAGGAAGCTGTTGTTAATTATGCATCCTTCATTGGCAGTCAAATACAAGGGAGTTGCAACAAGTGTGGAAAATTTCCATTCACTTGTCATATCCTGGTTTCCACAAACTTGTTGAAGCCCCCTGCTGTTTTCTACCCTGTGGCCAGAAAGTTCCTTGGAGTTAAAACCTCTTTCGCACCGCCCGCTCCCCCATCCCGCTCCCCTTTGTCTAGAATGACACGTATTTATTGACCTTTTAAGATTTTTAGTTAAAAAAAATCTTTTTTGCAGGTGTGTGGTATAAGTTTTATGTCTTAACATGTTTTTTCTTGATACAACTGTTGTATTGATTGTTATAAGAGCTGTAAGAGTCCCCAATAAAATCATCTTTAAAAAAGAAAATAGCCCTACAAAAATTCTTTTGACTTGTTGCTAGAGTAAGGTGACCAGACGTCCTGCTTTGGGGATTATTTTTAGCAATTTGTCCCGCGTCCCGCAGTGTTTAAAAAAGTCCTGATTTTTGGAAAGAATGCACGACAAGCTAGGGTATATGGTTTTTGGCTGCCATGTGGCTATTTCGCCAGGATATGCGTTTTATCAATGGTCTCCTGCTTTTGTCCCGCTTTACGTTAAAATCTTATGCTAGGGGCAGTCAGTTTTTTAATTGGACTCGTCCATGCTGTCTCGAGTATCAATTGTTTTTTAATGGTTTAATATTTAATATGGGATTATTTCTTTTTTCTGTCTTTAAAAATTCTCTAAGAAATTGTAATGTATATGAATTTTCAGTAATTAATATATGCTACAAACACACACACACACACATGCGATTTTTCCCCAAATTCTCACTTCAGGGAGAAGCTTCACCTACTGTTAGCATAAAGTATAAATTTCTAGATTTCTTTAATTGAAGAGAGAAATGTTTATTATGTTATTGTGTCATTACCTTGAAAATATTTGAGTAAAGATGGCACTGTATACTTTTAATGATTTCTAGGTGCAGCTTACACATTCTCCGGAGTTTAGAGTACATACGTAACACGCTCTCGTTTTCAGACATGTTCTTTTTGATGCTCAGTGTTACTATTTGAGAAAAGCAAAGAGTTATGACTGGGAAAGAGGCTTTACTTTTGGACCCTGACTCTAAGGATACTTCTTATGGGCTATTTGCTAAGCCTCTCAGATATCATGGCTTCTCTTCAAAGTGTTTGAACATGCTGCTTTAAAATTCTGTGGCCTACTAGCTCTGGGATCTTGGGGGTAGTTCCTTACCCTCTCTGTGCCTGTTTTATCTTTGGTAAAATGGGATGATCCTAATATCAACCTCATAGGTTTGTTAAAAAAAAACTCACTGAGTTAGCATGTTAATTGTGCTGAGGACAAAGCCTGTGCTTTTAAAACAAAAACCCCACCAAACAAACCCACTGCCATGGCGTCTATTCCGACTCAGTAATTCTATGTAGGGTTTCTGGGGCTGCACACCTTCCTGGGAGCAGAGCACTTCACCTTTCTCCCACGGAGCGGCTATTGGGTTTGAACCAGCCTTGCAGTTAGCAGTTCAACATTGACTTAACAGTGCCACCAGGGCTTTATTTAACAAAAGCTTTTGTTCAGTAAGCAAACTTTGAGTAACTCTTTGATTATTTTTTCTCTTTTCACTTTTTGTTTTGGAAATTAGAAAACAGACCGAGCTAAGAGATTTGAGTTTCTTCTGAGGCAGACAGAACTCTTTGCACATTTCATTCAACCCACAGCACAAAAATCTCCAACATCGCCTCTGAACATGAAGCTGGGACGACCTCGAATAAAGAAAGATGAAAAGCAGAGCTTACTTTCTGCTGGAGAGTATGTGGACTGATCTACCCCTCCCTCTCCCTCTCCCCCTCCTTCTCCCTTCCACTCATGATTCTTTTACTCTCACTTAGTCCAACTGTATATATATTTTTAAAAGTTTGTTTGCTGTCGGTCACTTTGTCCTGGAAGCAACAGTCATTTTTCCTTCCTAGAAGCCAAGGAATAAAAAAAATGTTGCCTGGTTTGGCCAAATTCCAAGTAAGATTCTAGACAGCTCATTTCTCTCCTGCCTCCCCCCAAACGTAGTGGTAATCCATACTGACTTAATTGACAGCTTGGTGTGTGGATGGAATATGAAGGTATTTTTTTTCTGTTCAGCTACCGCCACAGGCGCACCGAACAAGAAGAGGATGAAGAGCTTCTGTCAGAGAGTAGGAAAACATCCAGTATGTGCGTGAGATTTGAAGTGTCACCTTCTTGTAAGTACCTCATTACCTTGGTGACTTTCTTTATAATTTCACTTTAGGACAACTTTACTGAATTAACAAGAGCATGAGACATACATGACTTTTCACCCCCTCCCTTCCTAGATGTGAAAGGAGGCCCGCTAAGAGATTATCAGATTCGAGGACTGAACTGGTTGATCTCTTTGTATGAAAATGGAGTCAATGGTATTTTGGCAGATGAAATGGTAAGAAGTTTGTAGCTAAAAACACCGTTGTAGTTTTCGGCAATTTCTTCTGTACATTTGAAATGCCTGAGCTGACCCCCCCCCTTGCCCCCTCAACCCCCCACCCCACCTCATGCCTGGAGGTGAAATTGTTTTATTTAGTGGCTCTAATGAAAAAATGCATTTGTAATGTCTAGAATTTTTTAAAAAAAGAACCTTTAGAACATGTAATTTCACAGGCCACACCATTCTTTTATTGATGTTTCCTTAAATGTTACCCAAACCCTTCTATATTTGCTTCCCTTTGCCTTTTGGCTTCTGGGAAGCTCAGAGCCAAATGGCATGCCAATCCAAGGAGCATCTTTGTAAGCCAGAAAGGTCTGTCTACTGTGAACTTTCCTATTCCTTCTCCTTGAGTCTTTCTTACTTGTCTTAGCCCCTCTTTTATTTCCATGTCACCATTGATTTATTTGGTGCGGGCCACCCAAAACAGATTTTCATTGTTGGCCACCTGAAATCCTTTTGGGAGTGAGGTGGGGGTATACAAACCAAATAGTGACTGAATGCATGTATGACTGTAACACCTGGAGTTGTGAACAATCAGAAAAGGGACTGGCTGGGATAAGGAACAACAACAAAATGTAAAGCGCCACGTTGATGTGGGGTACAGTAGAGGGCCAGGCAGGCATTGGGAACCAAAATGGGGCACCATGGATAATGTAAATAAAATGATTGAAGCAAAAACGTAAGGTCATATAAAACCTTCTGCCAATAAGGTATAGCACATGAAGACCTAGGTGGATTTATTTTATCTTTTCTAGATAGATATTTTAAGACCAAATGAGTAGGCTAGGATTGAAAAGAGAACAGGGGAAGCTCTCGGTGCATATAACCCAGTAGTAGCCTTTGTATTTCTGTGTTTCTGGAACCGTATTTGCAGTCACTGTCATCCAGAAGAATCACATGACGACGTATGTATGCCCGGTGTCATCTAGCATGGCAGTCAGCCCTATAGATATTCATCCCTGATTGAGCAACTGCTAGGGATGTGGCAGGGTGTCCTTTAAATCACGGGTCTGTAGTGCCTCCTAATTATGCATATTCTGGATTGGGGCCTATAGTCAGCTCAGAGGGATAAGAGCCCTGTTACCTGGACAACAGAAGGCCCAGGGTGAATTTGCTTCAAGCTCCTTTTGACTCAGCCTGTCTAAACAGGAAGGCTATAAAGGTTCTTCATGTTGCATTTATGCTGATACCAGATATATTTTTAGGACTAAAATAAAACTTTTAAGGATTGTAGACGATTTGGGAGAAGAATAAAATTAAAAACAGACCCCTGCTACCTGGAAATAACAGTTTACCTTGTATGTATTTCCTTTTCTTCTCCCCCCCCCTCCCCCGCTCCCATGTGCCTGCATTGATGTTGAGATCATGTTGTGTATGTGTATATAACTTGGTATTCTGATTTCTGCACCTTCAGACATACTCTTCTACATAACGAGGATGCGGTTTTATAAAAATAAGTGTTCCGTAATAAAAAATAAAAATCCCAGGACAATTTCCTCATTGTATCCACATTCTCCCCCTTTCACCATTTGTTTGGATTGCTTGATGTATAGTAGATCTAAGTCTTGAGATTCTTTGTGATTTCGTTTTTCTGCACTGCTCAGATGATTTCTGTAAGACGCCTTGAGGCGAAAGTACTTAGAGTTATGACCCTTTTAAGATTTTGGGTGCTCAGTGCCTAATATATTTTAAAATATAGATCATTTATTAAGATAGTAACTAGGATAAACCCAATAAAAATAGCTCTGGGCTTAGGTTTATAAAAGAGCCTTTATAAGTTTCATAGCGATTAAGCCCCAAAGCCTAGTACATAGTTCTCTTTTCTTAGGTTCTGGGTTTTGGGTGGCTACTATACTGTTCACCAAAATCAAGTTGGTTTACTGGAGCTGGTGAGCTTTTTTTTTTTACATCCTTTCTGGCTGAAAAGTCCTGTTTCTTATGGTTCCTTAGGTTTTTAAGAGTGTGAGATGCAAGTCCAGAGCTCCAAGCCCCTTGAGGCGCATAGTCTAAAAATTTAATGTCTGGGCTAGAATCATTGGGGACAATGGGACACAAAGACCGATATCTAAGCAGTTTGTAAAGGAAATCTGCCTTTGTGAAAGACACACACGCACGCACACACTCTCACACTTCTTAATTTTGCTACTAGTAGGTAAAATTATATAGTCTATTGCTTGCTTTGTTACGAATAAAAACACCCTTGTTAGCGCCTTTCTAGCTGCAGTCTTTCTTAGTTTGTTTTCGTGCCCGCAGTAAGTATTGAATTGGCATGGCTATACATGTTTTCAAAACGGCCTTTCAACTGCTCATTGGTAGGAACTTAATTCCCTGCGTGAGCTAGATGGTAAAGATCTGCTATGATGTTGTTACTAACAAAATGCTTCATTGAGGAAAATTCAGAAATACATTGATCGGTTTTCTCCTTTGTGATGATCATACAGGGTCTTGGTAAGACTTTACAGACCATTGCTTTGCTTGGGTACCTGAAACACTACCGAAACCTTCTGGGACCTCACCTGGTTTTGGTTCCAAAATCTACTTTACACAACTGGATGGATGAATTCAAACGGTGGCTCCCATCGCTCCGTGTTATTTGTTTTGTTGGAGACAAGGATACAAGAGTAAGTGTACACAATAAGTTCAAGCATTTAAAAATTATTTTCTGCAGTTGTTTAAAGTTACAGGCGATTGCTAGAAAAGACATTTAAGTTAAATATTAATGACCAGTAACTTAAGTTGTGCTTACTCTATGCCAGGCTCTGTGGTGTTTTGCGTATATTAATTCTTGAAACATTCCTATGAAGTAGATGCTTTACCTATTAATAACAGACAATTCATCATGAAGTCTCATGTGCAGTTTTTAAAAAAAAATGATGATTGTGGCTGGAATGAAAGTTGAGAGAACAAATTCGTTTTCCACTCAACCAATTTCCTACATTTACTTTTTAACTAGCTTTTTAACCTAGCCAATTTTGAATTGCACTTTTTGGGGGGATTTTATTTATTTATTTATTGAATTGCACTTTTAAATGATCCTTTAAAAAAATGCTTTGTTAACACTGTCTTATGGTGACTTTAACATTTGAGTTATTTGGAAGCCCCAAGCACGTCCCTTTAACTGGCTTACCTGTTTGCTTACGTTTTTTGACCTTTGCCTTTGTTCACATGCACCCGTCCATCAATGCACACAACGGAACTTCCCCCTTCTCTATGTACAGAGAGCCCTTGGTTTGTAGTTTGTACTCAGTCACTACTGTCAGGTTTGGTCTTTGAATAGAAAAATACATGTCTGGGCATATGCATTCTCCGGTAATTCATAAGCGTTTGTCAACCTTAGTCTTTTAAATGAGCCATTTTGTCCATCCAGTAGGCTACACCTGTTTTTTTTCCCTTAGGTCTGTAGTAGCCTTAACCTAAACATAATAAATTATGAAAAATAACCAACGTTTGTAATCTGTTCAGAAGGCATATCATTAAACTTTGTTTTGATTTTATCTCTGGAGAGCATAGTGTAAACATTTTATGTAGCTCAGATAGCCTCAACAGAATGGTAGCGCTATGAATTATGTCATTTATCTTCCTCTTGTACCTGGTATTTCTCATTAGCAAGTTAGTCACTGAAAACTCTTTTTGGTGACTGCCACTATATAATGTCATCCCATTCCTCATTTGCATTGCTACAGTATTGATCTTTTGCTAAAATTATTTCTTAAACATGTGAGCAGAAGAAAAACTATCTAGGCTGATGTTTTCATAATGCCTCAGTAAAATTGCAAAACACTTCATTGATTAATGGATTTTAATGATATTATAAAGGAACCCTAGTAGTGTATTGGCTTATGCAACGGTTGCATACCTTCATGGTCAGCAGTTCAAACCCACCTGCCACTCCTTGGGAGAAAGATGAAGCCTTCTGCTCCAGTAAAGATTTACAGACTCAATAGCTTTGTAAGGCAGTTCTATATAAAATGCATTAAATGTATTTTTACCATGAGGCATTGTCAAAAAAGTTTGAAAACCAGTGTTCTAGATAGTACTATGTTGATTTAAATAAGTAGTCTCAAACCACGACAATTGAATTGATTCTGACTTAGGGTGAAGCTGTATGGGATTTGTGATACTGTACATCTTTATGGGAACAAGTCAGCCTTACCTTTCTCTCATTGTTCAGCTGTTGGATTTGAACTACTGACCTTGTGGTTGGTAGTGTTTGTAGCCTCATAATAACACTAGAGGGAGAAAGATGAGACTTTCTATTTCTGTAAGGATTTACAGCCTCAGAAACCTAAAAGGGCAGTTCTCCTCTGTCCCGGAGGGTCACTATGAATCAAAATGGACTAGATGGCAGTGGGTTTGTTTGCTTGTTTAACAATGCCCGCCTTAGGTTTATTTGTGTAAATAGCACAGGATGACACCAGCTCCCCGCAGATGGCAGCCCCAGGTTAACATCAGTCCTTCTAATCCTCAGACAGAGAATTCTACTGTGTAGGAGCCCAGGCATCTTTGGGAGCTTGAGCTGGGGCCTGGTCCTTGGCCGGAGCATCAGCCTTGCTTTGTGCCTTGGCCTTGGCCTTGGGTCAGCAGAGCCTCAGACCTTTGGCAATACATGCCCAAGCTGGCTTGGGATGGGCATTGTAGGCCAGTCAACTGAGCTTGTGGTTGACACCCATTGGGATCTTAGCCTTGACCTCCTTGGGCTTCACAAGAGCCTTGCTAGCCTCAGTACAAGCATCCATGGTCTTAGCATTGTTGACCTGCATTTTCTTCAGGCCCTTCTTGTGCTTCTTGGCAAAGCGCGTGTTCCTCAGGAACTTGGGGTCCCCCTTAAGAGATTCATGTCATGGTGATGGGGCTTCTTGATGACATTTCTGTGCCAGTTTCTGAATTGGTGGTGCGTGGGGTGGTTCTTAGACTTGGCCAGGTCCGTACTGACACCTGCTGCTCTTAGAGTGCCAGAGGCTGGAAGAAAGAGAGACTGAGTTTGGTTTTTTAATAACACCAGAAACCTCACAAAACCATTCCTGACCCTTTAACAAGGTATTTGTGACTCAGCCCTGCTAGGAAGAGAAGGGCCATATAAGAGATTTCTGAAAGTTGCAATCATTCAGGTATGCTAAGTACTTTCTAATTGTTGAAACTGTGGTATTGGTAATTCAGAAAAGTTATTTGGCCTATGTCCTTTTGACCCATTGTGACATGCTAGGAAGATGAGATTAAATGATGCTTCTCGAGTCTCTTACAACTCTTAATAGTTGCTTGACCAGTCCATGATCTCCTTGTCAACCTCTTCTAACATAAGAAACTTTATTTTGAATTAGGCGGCTTTTATTCGTGATGAAATGATGCCAGGAGAGTGGGAGGTTTGTGTTACTTCTTATGAGATGGTAATTAAAGAAAAATCTGTCTTCAAAAAGTTTCATTGGCGATACCTAGTCATTGATGAAGCTCACAGAATAAAGAATGAAAAATCCAAGGTAAGCCCGTCCTTGATATCTCTATTATAGTGTTCTTTGAACTGCCAGTACATGCCTTCAGGTCTCTGTATTTAAAAAAAAATGAGGGGTGATCATGATTATATTTGTGAAATGAGAATGCAAGTCTGTTTTTAAAGTAGCTTTAAAATCGAACTTATTGAATACAAAACAAGTCAACATGGAGTGCAGTTGTGCAGGTAAAGAAAGCGAGGTGCTCATTTGCTATGCCGCTTGTTATAGCCTAACTCTTTTATGCCACAATATGTCACTGGCATTGCAAATATTTGGTGTATAAATTCATTTGCACTGATGTGTTTTTTTATTGAGGGGCTACTTTGGTGTGTTCACGTGGATTAGAAAAAATAATTTCCTGGTGAAATTATCTGATTTGTATGAATTAGAGTTCGGTATTAACATTGAAAAATATTTTTTAGGGGGGGAGGGGAAAAATCTGATCTCAAGGGCTCAATAGAAAGTAAATGTCTAGAAAATAAACAATGGTAATATATGTACTAATATGTCTCATGCAATTGATAGATGGATTATAACCAGAGTTGTAAGAACCCCCCCAAAATGATCTTAAAAGCAGACCAAAAAAACATTGAAAAATATCAACATTTCTTGCCATTCAATTCCATCAACAGTAGAAAAGCTTCTATTATTATGGTAACCTCTCTTTGTATTACTGGGCTACTTTGGGAGAAACAGGGACAGAACTGTAGCAAAACCACCAGGTGAATCATTCTAATTTAAAATTGGAACTAATAACTGATAAGAGGACACATATTAGCAGACTAATTGTTGGTTTAAGAGCATTATGCAAATGCATTTTTATCAATAAGATGACTGGTATATGTTACAATTGTTTTTATATCTTTAATTTTTCTGGTCTGGTTTCTCAGAAGTTAAAGTAAGCTACTGAGGAAAATGGACTCAACATGGGGGCTTAAGAATCGTGGCTAGGCCAGGTTAGCACTTGGCGAGCCACGTAACTGATGAACGTGGTGGGGAGAAGGGAATATCACTGTATAAAGTGACTAGCCTGTACTCCGTGGAGGAGGCTTGGACTGTTTCCTATTGCCTTAAATTGGAGAGACTACCTTTTTTGAAATAAGATGGGAGGATTCTGGCGGGGGTGGGGTGGGGTGGAGTCTGAGGTATGAAACTGATCTGTGTTCTTTGTAGAAATGCCTCGAGTCTTTTGCTCAGTTGTGTTTCACTGCAGCAGTCACGTGAATTGGGAATTTTTCCATGTTAAAGTTCTTTGTTAAATTCGGGGAGGGTGGGGGGAGTTGGTTGGCAAAAGTAGTACCGAACGTAGAACATTCCTAATACTAAGGCGATGTTCATAGTTCCGTTTCCCCCTTAGCTCTCAGAGATTGTGCGTGAGTTCAAATCGACCAACCGTTTGCTCCTAACGGGGACACCTCTGCAGAATAACCTGCATGAACTCTGGGCGTTGCTCAACTTCTTATTGCCTGAAGTTTTTCATTCAGCAGATGTAAGTTGAAGTTAGACGTTAGACATGTCTTTTGCTTACGTTCACAGGCATTTGATTTTAAAGCATAGATGGCAGATAAAAACTTTATTGGGTGTTTGTAGGTTTTGTTTTGCTCTGGAAAGAGTTCTTTAGTACAGAATTGAAAAAATACAGCTATTCAGAGAACTCACTTTTTTCCCCCTTTGGGATTAACCAGTGTGTTAAGCTTTACTTGCAGCCGTTGTTAATCACGATTTATGAGGTGAGAGAGTGCTCAGAATAGTGCATTCAACACTTTTTTAAACTACTTAATGGAAAGATTTGAAACATTACTGAACACGAGTTTGGCAGGTAGATTAAATATCTTGAGAGCGATCTTGGATGATTGCAGACATTAGAATGGGTTCGTGGTCTGTGATTGACAAAACAAAAGGGCTTGGATTTATATCACTCGTAGCATTAAAGGTTGTGCTAGGGAAGCCAACTGAATAGAAGGATTCAAGGATTCTGATGCTTGATTTCCCCATTATGTGTATTGATTGGCAATAAAAATGCCAAATTCAGCTATCTATATTAACTTATATACCTTATCTGGCCTTTTGCTTGTTTTTATTATCTAGTGAGGGCAATGTTTTCATTCACATTGTATGTCTTCCATTGTATACTCTTCTATTTTCCTGAATTGGATTGAATGCTGTCATAGTATGGGAAACTCTAATCATGCCTTCTAAGAAAAAAAATTACTGATGAAATTCCAGTGAATGGGGTGAAAACATTTGCTACCTGATGTGATAGTTTATCTATTTTCGAAAGTAACTAATGTTGGCCATCACAATTACTAATGTTAAAAAAATTCCCTTAAAATGGTACAAAATGTATAGCTCTCAATGGTGCATCTCAATAAACCAACCTGTGCACTTATTGTAGAATTTCCATCTTCCTCCCCCCACAGGAGTTTGATTCTTGGTTTGACACTAAAAATTGCCTTGGTGATCAAAAACTTGTGGAAAGACTTCACGCAGTAAGTAATAGTCAACAAGGAAATTCACTACTTTCATATGTCCTCCTATAACTGGGCCAGAAAACCAATGGCCATAGAATGGCTTACTCTCTCCCCAGCCTCTCTCTAAAATCAAAAGTCAAGCCTGCTGCCACTGAGTTGTTTCCAACTCGTAGTGACCAAGTAGGATGGAGCAGACTAGGGTTGGGAGCAGACTGCCACAGCTCTCTCCTGTAGTGTTCGGACTGATAACTTTTTGGTTAGCAAGCAGGTGTTCACCACTTGTGTCAGTGCTCTGTAATAGAATGATTAGGGTCCTTACAAGACAAGAGTCAGTTTCAGAGTGATGCAACATGAGAAAGATTTAACCAGCCATTGCTGGCTTTGAAGATGGAAGAGGAACATGAGCCAAGGAATGTGGGCATCTTTTTTTTTTTTGCCTGACCTCTCCTCCATGGATAATGTGGTCTTCTCCAGTAGAGGTGGTTCATTTTCCCCACACCTCAGGCCCTCAAGATAAGAGTGAAACTATTTTCTTCATTTCCTCGTGCCATTCTAAGCCACTGCTTTTCTGCTGTCATAGATAAAATGCCTTTGCTTTTGAGGCCTGAGCTGTGTTGCCAGGCCATTCTTAGCCCATTATCCTCAATGTCATCTGCTAACACCCCATCACCATCACTGTTCTTTGATAACAACCTCTTACATCCTTCTAGAATCCCTGGGTGGTGCAAGTGCTTAAGTGCTCACCTGGTAACCAGAGTTGGAGCTCGAAATTCACTTAGAGACACCTTGGAAGAAAGGCTTGTTGATCTACTTCTGACAAGTCCTGTGGAACACAGTTGTACTGTTGCCACACATGGGGTCACCATGAATTGGCGTTGATTCAAATAGCAACTGGTTCTTAGCTCCTTCTAGTTCCTTCAGTCATGCTACTCTTTTTACTTAACTGAGACCTCCAGTTCCTGGGTTCCTCCCTTCCCTCCCCATCCCATCAGCCCATTTCTGTTGCTACTTTCCCCCCCATATCCAGCCTTGATTGCATTTCCTATCACTTATCTTTTCCCAGTACTCCCCTACTCCCCTGTTCCATGTCCAGCTACCATACTTGCCCTGAAACAGAATAATGGTGTGGTCTTTCTTCTGGGCTTGGATTTTCCTTTTACTACTTGAGTTCCGGTGGTGTGGTGGGTTATATGTTGGACGGCTAACCACAAGGTCAGCCGTTCCAACGACCAGTCAACTTCACAGGAGAAAGACGAGGCTTTCTACTCCCATAAGAACTTACAGTCTCAGAAACCCACTTTGTCTTACGAGGGGTTCTATGAGTTGGGATCAACCTATTGGTCATGAGTGAGCAGATTGATGTTCTCTGTACTGGGGTTACTCCACCCTGATAAAGTTTATACAGGTCTGCAGTTTGAAAACCTGACTCTTTCATGGTATCTGACATCCATTGTTACCTTAATGATGCTTGTTCTGCTTCATCATGGCTTTCTGTACTTTCTCATTTCCTATAACAGCAATCTACGACCTTCCTCAGTCTCTGCAAGCCTGGGTTGCTGCTGCCCTTCTCCTCTCAGCAGATAACACTGCTCTTTTCTCAAAGAGGAAATAATATTTAAGGATTGGCTTCAGCCTTTAGCTTCCTATTCCAAGGATCTCTGCTTCTGTGTGACTTTTTTGCCTCCATGGAAGTGGCTTCCTTTCTCTTGTAAGAGGTTAGCTCTCTCAAGTGAACCCTGCATCTTACCTGTTTCTGTTTCTTTATGAACTTTCCCCCATGATTTAGTTTACTGACGAAATCGACTACCTCTTCCTGTAGTTTGGCACTGTTCCCTTAACATGTAAACATGCTCATAGCTCCTTTATTCTACCAAAACCACACCCTTGCCCAGCTCTACCTCCACATGGAAGGCAGTGCTTTCTCTGCACTGTACCCTTCTTTAGTCATAATTCTATTTCCTTCCCTTGACAGTTAAGCTTGAAAGACTAGTTTTATCTCCTAGTTTCTACAACGAAATCTTCCAGTCCTTCTTGAGCCCATTGACGATTGGCCTCTATCCGCTCCACGCAACTACAGCTTACCTCACAGGTCCTCAGTGGCTTTCTGCTTGCTGAGTACAGCTAGAGTCTTGATCAGTAGCTTGATTTCTCCGCAGTGTTCAGCACTATTAACCACTCTTCTAACGTGACACTCTGCTGCTGGGCTTCTGTGATACCACTCTCCTGGATTTTCTCTTACCTCCCAATCCATCTACTTTATGGGCTTCTCTTTCTCTGGCCCTTTAGTTAGTTCACTGTTTTACAGGGTATGCCTTCCTGTTTCATCCTAGTCTCCCTGAGAGGCACTGCTGTGGTTTCAGCAGCCACCTCATACATACACTGCTAACTCCCAAAATTAGAGATCTGTTTTCTAAGCTCCGTTCTAAGGAACCTTGGTGGCTCTGTGGAGTAGATATTGGACTGCTTACTGCAATGTCAGCAGTTTAAACTTACCAGATGCTCTGCTGGAAAAAGATGAGGCTCTCTGCTCCCCAAAGGATAGGTTGGCTATGGGTAGGGATCGATTCTTTCGGTGGTAGTGGGTTCTGAAGCTTTAGACTCCACATCCCACTGTCTTCTGAGTCATTCTACCAAAATGTCTCTGAATGGTTTAAACTCTGAAGAATTTGCCCTAGCTAAGTTTAAGATTCCTAAACCAGAAACTCAAAGCCTTGGTTTCTTTATTTTCCATCTCTAATAATAAACCAGCCAAGGTTCCTAATAGCCCATTGAGGATTGAACTGAGTGTAGAATTAGCCTGATCTGGTTTGCATTCTGCATTTACTATTTATTAGCAGAGTGACCTTGGTCGTGTTACTAAGATGGAAACAATTCTGTTTCCCTCAAAGATGTACTATAAGAATTCTATACCATATGTGAAGTTCAGTGTACAGTGTCTTCACAGTGTAGCTAACTTTAAATAGCATCGTGATAGAGTTTGACTTTCACGGACACACTGATCCTTTCGTATTTCTTCTCCAGCCCTATCTTCTCTTACATTGAACTATTTTCTCCTCCTTCAGATATTGAACCATTTTGAAATGGTCAGAATGTCTTCTTCCCTATTAGAGTCTTTCTGATCTATCCTCTGATGTCAGAGTTGCTCTTACTGGTCATATTACAGCAGATTATCATCCCCTCCCACCCCTTTAAATCATCTCTCGTTCGTGTTCAGTAGTCTTGTTGATTTGATGTTGATAAAATTTGTGGCATCAAATCAGTAGTAGCCGTGTAGGTCTCCTGTTCTCATTTTGGGGAACCCCTGGTGGCAAAATGGCTAAAGTACTTAGCAGCTACTCCTCCTCCTCCTCCTCCTCCTCCTCCTCCTCCTCCTCCTCCTACTACTACTACTACTACTACTACAACACCGTCTGGTGACTTGAACCTGCTAGTCTCTCCACAGGAGAAAGACGTGATGATCCGCTTTCCCGAGGATTTACAGCCTTGGGAGTCCTCTGGGCACTTCTAGGAGTTAGAATTGTTTTTGTAGCAATATGTTCTGATTTTCGAATATGTTAGTATTTGGTTCTTTTTTCACTGAGCCACTTGGCAATCGGCAGTGGTAGGGTTTTTCAGATGATGTAACGGATAGTAAGTTTCATGTACCAATTGAAATCTCTGGCTTTTGAGTCGATTCTCTTAGCCCTATAGAACAGAGTGAAACTGGGTCATTGTTTCTAAGGTTGTAAATCCCTATCGGAGCAGGCAACTTCATCTTTCTCATGGAGTGGCTGGTGGGATTGAACCACAAACTCTGGGGTCAGAAATCTCAATACACAACCCACCAGGCCTCTGGGGCTCTTTATTGTGCCACCAGGGTACCTAAATTTCCTCTGACAGTGTTGTTCATTAATACTTGGTTTATAATATTAAGTACTGTGTGAACTTTGATATAAATCATCATGTTTTAGGTTCTAAAACCATTTTTGTTACGTCGTATAAAAACCGATGTAGAGAAGAGCCTGCCTCCTAAAAAGGAAATAAAAGTTTACTTGGGACTCAGTAAGATGCAACGAGAATGGTAAGCTATTTTATTTCCATGAAAATGTATTTGCGTGTGAGGATTTATACACCGTTAGCTTTGAAGTCATTGAGTTATGCTTTCAGTTCAAAAGGGCATTTTAAATTTAAATGGAAAATCCAGTAGCTATTTCGAGAAAACATTGGTAAGTACTTAGCCTTTGGGAAGAACATGGACTTGGCGTTAGGGGCCTCTAGGTTGTGTTTAACTCCTATGCTTTGCTTCTGAATAGCAAGCAAACTCTTTTAGCTTGGACAGGTTATGTAGCCTCAGTTTCCCTTCTGTAAAATGGGGATACATATGCTTAAAACCTCTGAGAATGATGTTGAGATTGAAGGGGGCTGATGTGACTGGTAAATTTATTAATGCTTCTGGGTTCTGAAGGTTGGAATGGTTTGGCAAATAAAGGGTTAGCAGGAAATTGACATGAAGCATCACAAGGAATTATAAATTGGACATGTTCGTAATGTAATACTGTAAAAAAGGAGTCAGATACAGCTTATATACATTAGAGTACATATAAAATCTGTAATGATTCCTCCACAATAAAAGCCAGTACCAAGAAGAGATCAAGAGTCTTCTTTGGACTCTGACATAAGAGCAAGTGCTGGCTTTTCTCCTTACTGTGGTCCTGAGTAAGTGGCTGAACTTGGCTTAGCTGCCTGATTTTCCATCCATAAAATGGGGTCATAGCTCAAAGCCACTGTGGTAATTTAATGAGATCAAAATCACCTGAAACACGTGCCGTGACACTAGGCTTTTGCATACAGACAGATTGTCTATTCTTATCATTGAATGTTAATTCCAGTTCAGGTGTATCTGTAGGCCAATTTTTGTCTGGGTGAAGGTCTAGGAAAGAGAATGAATGATGTTTTCAGGGTCAGAAAAAAAAGAAAACGACCAATGAAGACAGGCCTCAGAAATGGGGATTGCTTTTAGCTTGAATAAAAGAGGATACCACCTATCAGCAAAGACATAAGTTGTATATAGAATATTATCAGGCAGTTTCTAGTGATAGAGCTTGAGGGAATAAGTTTACAGGCAGGATTCATGTTAAAATGCTCCAATGTTACGTGTTTCTTGTTTCTGCTGATTAGATGGATAGTTGTCCCTTGAACAGCACTAGTTTGATTATGTGGGCCCATTGATATGCGAAATTTTCCTCCTGTTGCTATGGAGGTGAACTCAAGTGTTATAGCTCCTTGAGATGCCATGTGATGCTAATCATCTCTGCATGAGCAGTTTGTCTAGATGAACAGCTCGAGTGGAGATGAGTAGCGATGACATGGTTTTTAAGCAGATTCTCATAACACTGGAGCTCACCACAATAACAACTGGAAATTAAAGCCCGTGTTGTTCAAGGGTCAACTAGTCTCATATCCAATCTTGCTGAACCTCTTGAAATGAGAATCCCAGCTGGTCACCAAAGGGACATTTCTTTCTGATCACTCAATAGCTGATGGCTATTTATTTATTTATTCTGATGGTTAGTTCTTGTTTTCAACTTCAGGTATACAAAAATCCTGATGAAAGATATTGATGTTTTAAATTCGGCTGGCAAGATGGACAAGATGCGACTCTTAAACATTCTGATGCAACTCCGAAAGTGTTGCAATCACCCCTATCTGTTTGATGGTGCTGAACCTGGTCCACCGTATACCACTGATGAGCACATTGTCATCAACAGTGGGAAAATGGTCGTTCTGGATAAACTGTTGGCCAAGCTCAAAGAACAAGGTGAGTACTTAAGCTTTTTGTGCCTATGATAAATTCATATTAATGACTTGTACAAGACAAGTGACATTGTCTTCATTCTTTCCTTCCTTCATTCACTCATGGAACCAACATTGAGTACTTACTGTTTGCCAGGAAGTGTGCAATGGGTTTATTGTACACAGATGATTAAGACAAGAGTCTTTGCCTTGGAGAAGCTCACAGTGTAGTGAGGAGGGCAAACCTGTAATAAATAGCTGGCAGTTCACGGTGTAAAATGTAAATGTAAAATTCATATGTAAAATGCTTAGGAAGTGGGAAATGGGGAAGCCTTCACAGAGATGGCATTGGAGGTGAGCAATGGAGTATGTGGAAGAATAAGCCACGTGCAGAAGGAACGGCAGTCCTTTTCAGGGCAGAGAATCAGAGTTGTAAATAAGTTTATGGGACTTGGGGTAGAGGAGAAGTAGATGATTCAAGGAAGATGGAATGGGTCCAAAAGCAAACCTAAAGGAGTTTGCACTGGAATTTGAAGAAGGAACAGGAGTCACTGAAGATCAGGCTGTGGAGAGGGACACTCAACGGGTGTAAGGAAGAGAACTCTGGAGGAGATGGATTGAGCATGAAAGCACAGAAACAGGAGACTAGTTGAGACAATTGGGGTTCCCTGTGAGAGATCGCATGGCACATTACTCAGCCTCAGGACAGAGTTGAGGCCGACTTTAAATCATCTCAGTATGTGTGTGGGGTGGGGTGGGGGTGGGATTTGAAGACATTAAAAATGTGTAATTCAACAAATGTGTAATTCTCTGTAGCCCCCCCTTGAAATGTAGGGGTGTGTGTGTTGTGCTCATATTCTGTATTACATTTCATAATGTTTTAATATTTGGGGTGACTTGCAAGCTTGTTTTACACAAGTTGGGTAATTTGTGTGATTTCTGGTGAAATGTTTTAGGTTCCAGGGTTCTAATTTTCAGCCAGATGACTCGCTTACTGGACATTTTGGAGGATTATTGTATGTGGCGTAATTACGAGTATTGTCGACTCGATGGACAAACCCCACATGAAGAAAGAGAGGTAAGGAAGCGAAAACACAAGGCGTCTAAAATCAGCAGTCCATCACGCAGGGTCGTGCGTCGTTTGATAGGGTTGAACTTTGGCCTTTTCTTATTGCTCACTATCATCTCTTTCGTTTGGCTTCCCGTCCATCAACTCCCCATAAACGCTCCTTTCTGGGCTTTCTCAAGGCATTCTCCCTTACTGAGAGGACACCACATGGTTCCATCCTTACCTCCTCTAGCCCTTGTTCTCTGACCCGTTGGGCGACTGGTTCTTGGCTTACTCGCTGACCTCTGGCTATGTTTTCTGTTTGGTTCTTGATCTGCCCCCTCCAGCAGACCCTCAGCCATTCCTGGAGTTTCACAGACGAGATCTTGCCAGTTTTTGGAACCCTAAAGGCACATGAAACTTAGTCATTTGTGAAGGGAATGATCTTGATCTTTTAGTGTGTATGCCAAAAGTACACACGTTAACATGGGTACAGGTGCTTAGGATGAATCTGGATCCTAGAACACAAAAAGGTTGATGTGCATGGGTGGAACACTTGGCTGGTGAGTAAGCCTACCTAGCACCCAGTCTTTGTCAACTTTGGGGATTCCTACTGATGTTTAGATTTTTTATCCCTCATGAATGTCATGGGTTGAGTGAATTTTCAACCCTTTCAAGCACTTCAGTATGTTTTGAGGGCTTTGCTGTTTGCTTTCCATTTTTCTGTGATCTTGCAGGACTCTGTCTTTGGCTTCTGTCCTAAGACACGTTTTGGGGAAAAAATCATGAAATGATGTAGTAAAAATGCATGGAACTGAGTTTTCAGATGAGCTGAATTTTGACAAGAGTGCCACTATTTTGTAACACGTGCCAGGCATTTCATCCTGCGAGCCTCAGGAGCTGTCCTGATGTTTGTGGTTGTGAGGGACCATCGAGTTGGTTCCAACTCATAGCAGTTCCATGGGCAGCAGAAGGAAACACTGCCTGGTCCTATGGTATCTTCATTCTCGTGTTTTCTTTGAGCCCATTGGTGCAGCCGCGGTGCGAATCCATCTTGTCAGGGGCCTTCCACTCCACATTACAATATGTCCAAAGTATGTTGAGACGAAGCCTCACCATCCTGGCTTCTCAGGAACATTTTGCCTGTAACTTTATTTTCATTGCCGACTCATGGCGACCCTATAGGACACGGTAGAACTGCCCCCTGTGAGTTTCTTAAGACTGTCACTCTATGAGAAAAGAAAGCTCCGTCTTTCTCCCAAAGAGTGGCAAGTACTTTCAGACTGCTGACCTTGGAGATCGCAGTCCAACAAGTAACTACTAAGCCACCAGGGCTCCTCTGTAACTTTTACAAGGATACTATTCATGCCATTGCTACCTTTTTGATAATGTTATGCAGATGAGTGGGTATATGAGGTAAGTACATCTGCATGTCATGAAATTGCACATGGTGTCTTTCTACTTAGCAACAGTGGGCTTCTGTCCGTTGTGATGCTTTCCTTTGGAAGCCTGGCTAGAGTAGAGGATCTATCCACAGCGTCCGCACACACCTCCATTTCATATGAAAGTTGCTCCTGTTGAACCGACTGTGAGGAAATTATAAGGATGAAAATGACTGCAGATGGGACATTTCAGATCTTACCCGGTTTCCTGCACCATAACAGTTTTCTCTCTCTGAAGTGGTACTTGAAGCCTAGCTGGCTTTTCGTTCCTTTGTTTCCGAGAAGGAGTTTCTTGGAATTGACATCGAGTAGAGTACCTTGGAGGAGGCGGCCTTCTTCCTGGAATGAATTTGCTATTCAGGCAGAACATTTGGTGCTTTTGGACCTCAAGTAGCCAATTTGCTTTTCTCGTCCATCTCTCTGCTCACGCATGTTGTATACTCAACCTACTGTTGTCCAGATGATTCTGCTTTTAAACATTTCAAATAATGTTATCTCTTCAGCATTGTTGGGTTAAATATGTTGAGTTTAAATATGGAAATGGCCAGCCTCCCCATTAGGGCATTGTCCACACACTCATTTCACTGATTAGTCCCATGAGCAGAAGACCACATCGGAGTCCTGACTCTTAATTGCTTACTGGTTCTTAATGTACTATCCGTTCCCAGTAGCTGGCAGATTTGTCCTTTATTCCAGGTAAGCTCAGCGAGTTCAGTCTCTGGTTATCCTGACTCATTTCCTATAACCTTAATTGGCCTTGGCACCCTTGGAGGTAAAGGGAGCAATGCTTGTCAAGCACTTAAGTAAGAACTAGGCAGCTCTCAGGATTCAGTTGAATTCTTCTAACAGCTCAGTAAAGTACTGGGATCATATCCTCTACCCACTGTGCCTCAGGGAGGTTAAATGCTTCCCTTGAACACACGTATTCAAGCCCAGATTGTATCGAAAACCTTTCACTAATTTCCTGTGCACTAAGTTGCCTTTCGCGGGACCACCTCTCTGTGTGCTGTAATGATGACTGCAATAGGAGCTGTCTTGTCTGCTCCAACCCCACCAGTCATTTCTTATTGTGTGCCATTGAGTTGATTCTGACTTACAGTCACCTGATAGGACCAGGTGGAACTGCCCTTTAGTGTTTCTCATGCTGTTATCTTTATGGGAGCAGATCACCAGATCTTTTCTCCATTGGCTGGCTCCCTCCATTTAGAAAAAGGTGTTACTCTCTTTTGTGACTATGAAAAGTGGTATGTGATTGATGAAGGAAATTTAAAAAATGCAACTGTTTCTTGCCAATCTTACACACACACACACACACACACACACACACCCCACACACACCTCTAAGTAGTTGATAGGACCCCTGGTGGCATAGTTGTTATGCTTGTAACCAGTCAGCCGGAAGACAAAGCTTTCTACTCTCATAAGGAGTTACAATCTTAGAAACACAAAGAGGCTGTTCTGCTGTGTCCTAGAGGGTCAATGAGTTGGAATCAACTAGAAGGCAATTAATATTTATTTGGCAAGTAGTTGATAAGGAGCCCTGGTGGTGTAGTGAGCTCTGCATTGAGCTGCTAACCACAAAGCCATTGGTTTGAACCTATCATTTACCTCTCAGGAGAAAGATAGGCCGTCTGCTCCCACAAAGATTCAAAGTCTTGGAAACCCCAAAGGGGCAGTTCTATTCTGGTCCTGTAGGGTCATTATGAGTTGGAATCTATTCGATGGCAATGGATTTGAAAGTAATTGATAACATTAGTTATATACAGTTCAGAATCCTGTTAAAATTTTATTCACCATTATATTGTGGTTGCCTATGTCAGTAAAAAGAAATCATTGTGAAGATAATTTTCGTCTTATAGTTCATCCTATGAATGTATACTTTATCCCCCTAAGTTTCTTCCAATTTTTCACTAAAATAATAATGCTAAAATGAAAGTCCTTAGAATCTTTTTGCACAGAAGTGGAAACTGGGTCAAAGGGTATGAACACTTTTAAGGCTCTTGATGCGTATTACATTGCTTTCCAGAAAACATGCACTACTTTACACTCCCAGCAGCCCATCTCTCCACCCCCTCGCCAACATAGAGTAGTCTCATTTCTTTTAATCTTCAGAAAACGGTATTGTGTTTTCATTTGCATTTATTTGATCACTAGTAGGCTTAATCATTGTCTGTGTTTATTAGGCAGTTGTATTTGTTCTTCCATGTATTACCTGTTTTCATCATTTTTCTATTGGGGTGAGTGTTTTTCCCATTCATTTGTATGTGATCTTCATCTAGTGAAGATAATAGCATTCCATTAATTTGGAAGGCTCTTTACTAAACATTCCTGGATTGCCTTTCTAATTTTCCTCATTACTTATGTGTTTACGCTTTTTCATAAGACTGAAATAAAACTTCCCTCTTATCTGTTACTCTTCTTATTTCTTAAATCTTTTTTATCTCTTGATTTTCTAAGTGACACCTTCTTTATCAAACCTCCATAAATTAATGGAAGTAGAGATTTCTGATACGTCACCCTCCAAGATCTCAGTTTTCACTCTGATTGTTTTAAAATCAGTGGTTTGTGATACGCATAGTTAAATCTGTTGATGTGATTATTCTAAGCTTGTTTCTAGTGAAATGAACTTTTAACGGTTAGGGGTTTTATGTAATCATGTAAAAGGATGTTTACGTATTTTTGAATATGTGTTGTCAAGTGTGTATACAAGTTACCATTTTTCATTGTTTTTTATGGACTATTGTAATATTGTTTGATTTTTTTTCTATTTTTCTCCTATTCCCTTTGGCAATTACAAAAAGGATGCAATTGAGGCCTTTAATTCTCCTGGCAGTAGCAAATTCATCTTCATGCTGAGTACCAGGGCTGGAGGTCTTGGCATTAACTTGGCCAGTGCTGATGTGGTTATAATCTACGATTCAGACTGGAACCCACAGGTTGATCTGCAAGCTATGGTTAGTAATCTTTAAAGATGTCACACATCTATCTTTGCACCAAATACTGTTAATATTTATATTGCACAGAGATCATTTAAGATAAAAGTGGTAACAATTTAGGGTGGGGTATTTATTGATAAATTGTTGATAAAGTAGACTATTGTGGGAAACAAAGTTGCTGTACTAATTGCAAAAACTAATGAACAACAAATACACAACAATGGATAACCTTTGTGGGTCCCTTTTGACTAAAAATGTCCACCCATTCTTGGAGAGTGACTACGAAAAGGATTCAATAGGTGATCTCTCCCTATTATTCTGTTCAACAATTGAATATCTTATATTGTGTAGTACTTAAATTGAGAGATGCTGGAATTTTAACTTTTGTGACATAACAGTTGGGAAAAGGAAGTAAAAGAGAAGAAAGGAATATAGCTACTAAAGATAATAAAGCTAATAATAGCTAATAAAAGGACGTGGCTATGTTGGTGACTTAGGAATACTATCAGAAATGATCCTGCATTTCCCGCCCACACTTAATTTTTTCCCCTTTCACCATGATAGGTTATTCCTTCGGTACAAGAGGGCTTTAAAGTGTTCACTGAACAATGGAATTTAAAGATAATGGATTTTTTTCCCCCAGGAACCTTTGAACTGTGGTATTATTTCTTGAAGAAGAACCCACAACCTTTCCTAATATGACTCATTTTTAAGATAAAGAATATCCTTTCTGAAGTTAAAAGATGTAAAATATATATGCACTGAAAAGCCAAGACATGTTGAGGTTTAGCCAGATTTGTAAGCTAGACCAGAATATGTATACTGGTACAGACAAGAGCTCATAACATAGGGAATTCAGAACAGATAAACCCGTCAGGACCAATAAGGGGAGCAGCGATACTAGGAGGGTAAGGGAAGGTGGGGAGAGTAAGGGGGAACCAATCACAATGATCACTGTATGGTCCCCCTCCCAGGGGGACAGATAGCAGAAAAGTGCGTGAAAGGAGACTGTGGTCAGTGTAAGACATAGAAAAAAAAAATCTAAATTATCAAGGGGACATGGAGAGGGAGGATGGGGGAGGGAGGGGGCGGGAATGAGCTGTAACCAAGGACTCAAGTAGAAAAAAAATGTTTTGCAAAAGATGATGACAACATATATACAGATGTGTTTGGCACCATGATATATATATATATATATGGATTGTGATAAGAGCTGTAAGAGGCCCTAATAAAATAAAAAAACTAGAAGAAAAAAGAAAAGCCAAGACAGTGGACAGTCTCATTGGGAGCCATGAAAAGTTGTGTGCCAACAAGGGGGTACATCAAAGTCCCTTTCAAAAGTCCTGTCCTTTCATCACCTTCAAGAGATGAAAAATATTGACCCCTGGGTCATTTTTAAGTCAACATGCTTGGGCATAATTATTCTTCGGGGATTGTATTAAACTACTTGTTCATGTGGCTAAGTGGGAGTAAGTCCAGCAGTTAGTGACAGTGTTCACTGAGAGGGCAGTAGAGTTGCAAAGTTGGTTAGACTGCAGCGCTTCCAGGATTTGAGTCAGGACTTTGGAAAAATGTGTCGTGGGTTACATTTTCTTTGCTTGGGCTGGGTTGAAACTTTGGCATGGGGCACCGGTGTTTTTATATTTATTTAGTTCAAGTTTGTTTTGAACCTTGTTTCTTTGCTTTGTGCTCTCCCTGCCTCCCCTCCCCACCTATTTTAGCATCTGGAACGTTGAAAAGAGCATGCTGAGTGAGATTAGCCGCCAAAGGACAAACATTGTTACATCTCATTTATGTGAAATGAGCACACAGAGAGAAACTAAAAATGCGTAGGAGTTGAGTTTGCTTTGTTGAGAGTTTTTGCTTAGGGGTCAGTAAGTTTACCATGAGGGTGATCAAATGGTTGCCCAATTTGAAGGATGCAATCTGTGCGATGGAATTGTATGCATCTAGAGATCACAGAACTGGTGGCTTTTGCCGTGTATATTTTGGCCACAATAAGAATAAAGAAATGAAGTTAAAAAAATACTCTTAGCTGTTTTTATACTGACCGAAGTAGCCACCTGTCACTTTTACCATGGAGGCAGTTATAGACCATTCGCCAGTCAGGTCTCTCATTAATTTTTAGGACCCCTTCCTGCTTACTCCGGAATTGCCTCAGTAAGCAGAAGGAACTGCTTGATGAGAAGATAAAGCAGGCTTTGCCACCACAGCAACCTTTGCTGACTACCTTGCATCTCATAAAAGCCTGGGAGTTTGGAAGATGTTTGTATAGAGAGGCTTAAGTTACTTAGTAACTTAATTCAGGAGCTTTCTCATTAATGGTACTCTGTAATATGTGCAGATTTTTTCCGTTCTCAGGGCATCTTTAGATATTCTTAATATTCATCATCCTTTCCGAAGTGGCAGAGAATGAATTTAATTTTCAACTGATTTTAGCGTATGCTGCCTATGTGATATACATTTTATCTGGACTATCCAAAAATCTTATCTTCGGGTGTCTTTTTTTTCCTCTGCTACTAGGATCGAGCACATCGTATTGGTCAGAAGAAGCCAGTACGTGTATTTCGCCTTATCACTGACAACACTGTTGAGGAAAGGATTGTAGAAAGAGCTGAGATAAAACTGAGACTCGATTCCATTGTTATACAACAAGGTATTTATATGCATGCTCTAAATTTTGAGATGGTTTGACCCTCCAAAAGGCCTGTGATTTTCTTCAAGGGAAGTTATTTTTAATAAAGGTTGACCAACCTTGCAATTTTGGTGAGTACCAAAGCTCCGTTTTGAAAAAACTACTAGTTATTTAAAGCTTCCTAGCACAAACCCTCACACTCAACATAGTAAGCAGATCTTTTAGAATCTTTAGTGTATATTTCAATGTCAGCTGTATTCTTTTGCAATTCAATGCAGAACCCAGGTTTGGATTAGGTCCTCAATCTCCTGAGGGTGGGGACAGTGGTAGCTAAAAAAGAACACTACTGGGAAATGGAGCCCTGGTGGTATAGTGGTTACAAGTTGGGCTGCTAAGCACAAAGTCAGCAGTTTGAAACTACCAGCTGCTCTGTGGGAGAAAGATGAGGCTTTCTACTCCCATAAAGCATTGCAGTCTTGGAAACCCACAGGGGCAGTTCTATCCTGTCCTATAGGGTTCCTGTGAGTTGGCATCAACAAGATGGCAGTGACAGAGAGCCTGGGAAATGGACAGAATTTGAAATGTGGATTATGAGTCATAATTTTTAAATATCAAAGTTAAATTTGATAACTACTACAGTTAGTGTATCTTGTTTTAAGGAAATGCACTCTTAACTATTCAGTGGTAAAGTAAAAAGTTTCTGGGTGGTAAAAATTGTGAACCTCCTCAGCTAGTTTAAGTCCATCCAGTGGAACCTTGGAAGAAAGGCTTGGTGTTTTATTTAAAAAAAATAAGCCATTGAAAATCCTGTCGAACACAGTCCCACTCTGATGATCATGAGATCACCATAGTCAGATTTAGCTTAATGGCAAATAGTTCTCCAAACCCCACAAACCAAACTCACTGCCATAGAGTCAGTTCCAACTCAGTGACCCTATAGGACAGCATGGAACTGCTCCTGCAGGTTTCCTAGACTGTACTTCTTTATAGGAGTAGAAGGCTCCATCTTTCTCCTGTCAAGCAGCAAGTGGGTTTGAACTGCTGACTTTGCAGTTAGCAGGTCAATTCATAGCCAGTATGCCACCAGGACTGAAAAGGACAGAGGGACAGATAAAATGGTATTGACAGATTATAGAGTATTTATGGTAGTTCCTTGTTTTATTTTGCCAAAATTTCCTGTGGATTTAAAAATCATAGTGAAATAATGCATCCCCCCTCCTCCCCCTACCCCGTAGTTTGTCTTTTGAAGTACCTGCTGTTATTGAGTGAGAAAATGTCTAGTTTCAAATGTTTTAATATATACACATAAGTTGAAAAGTACTGCTAGTAGGTTTCCAGTTCATATATACATGGATTTATTCCACCCAACAAGTTTAAACACATGTCTGTGATCAATGGATAGCTACAGCCACGTCCTCTCAGTAATACGCTTGTCTTAGTCCCCATGGGGCACCTTTGAAAATATACTTTTTGTGTCATGGAAAAATACAGTGTTGGGGTCAGGGCTAGTAAAAATTTTAACAAGTGGCCATCTTCCCAAATCATTGGAGCGTTGCAACCACTTTATGAGTCTGCTGCCCCATAGAAAACAAATTGTTAAATCCGGCTATCCCAGAGGATGTACACTGGTACAGATAAGAAACCGATAAAACACAACTTTCCTCTAGTTCTTTAATGCTTCCTTGCCCCCCACCCCCATCATGACCTCAATTCTACCTTACAAATCGGATTAGACCAGAACATGCACACTGCTAGAGATAAGAGCTTGCAACCCAGGGAATCCAGGATAGATCAACCCCTCAGGGCCAACAATGAGAATAGAGTTACCAGGAGGATTAGGGGAGGGTGGGTGGGGGAGAGGGGGAATCGATCACAAGAATCAAAATATAACCCCTTCCCAGGGGAATGGACAATAGTTAAAGGGGTAAAGTGAGACATTGGACAGTGCAAGACATGGAAAAATAATAATTTTTAAATTATCGAGGGTTTGTGAGGGAGGGAAAAAATGAGGAGCTGATACCAAGGGCTCAGGTAGAAAGCAAATGTTTTGAGAATGATGAGGGCAACAAATGTACAAATGTACTTGACACAATGGATGGATGTATGGATCGTGATAAGAGTTGTATGAGCCCCCAATAAAATGATTAAAAAAATTTAAAGAAAAAGAAAAAAATGGATAAGTCACCATATGGCTTCATTTAACAACAACAACAACAACAACAAACCCCCAAACAATGTCTCTTTAGGGGATCTGGTAGGCCAGTTCGGTTCAAAGCAGTGGGGTCAGAAGGCTATGGCAATTGTGGGGACTTCAAATGGGTAATCTTGATGTTTTTTCTCAAAGGACACAATGATGACCATAGGGCCTTATTAGGAAAAAGTTTTAAGAAAACTGCATTAGTGAGAAAAAGGCCAGGGAAGTTGTGATGAGGATCCCCCCCATCATAACATTGATCCTTGTTCATTCTTTGAGGGTAGTAAGCACTGTCTTATGAGAGTTCTCTCAGGAAACCTTTATCATACATCCACCCTACAGCCCTGATCATATCCTTCAAGTTGTTCCCCAAACTTAAGAACACTGTGGCGATACTGGGAGCATAGAGGGAGAGTGGGTTGGAAAGAGGGAACCGATTACAAGGAACTATATGTGACCTCCTCCCTGGGGGATGGACAACAGAAAAGTGGGTGAGGGGAGATGTAGGACAGGGCAAGATATGACAAAATAATAATTTATAAACTATCAAGGGCTCATGAGGGAGGGGGAAGCGGGGAGGGAGGGGAAAAATTGAGGACCTGATGCCAAATGTTTTGAGAATGATGAGGGCAATGAATGTACAAATGTGCTTTACACAATTGATGTATGTATGGATTGTGATAAAAGTTGTATGAGCCCCTAATAAAATGATTAAAAAAAAAAGAATACTGAAAGTCAACATCGTTCAAGTCCCTTGAGGATGCCAGAATTACCGATTTGCTCTGGTGTCCTCAAGGAGCACAGAATTTTCAGAGAAAGGTTAAAGAGATGGGGATGCTGGCTTAAAAAGCAGGTCAACCTCGTGTTAGGTGCTGTCCTATTGATTCCAACTTGAGGTCCCTTATGTACAGCCGAGCAGAACACTGTCCATCCTTACAGTTGTTTGTATGTTTGTGCCTCTGTGTCCCTTCATCTGGTGAGACCTAGATGAGGTCATGTCGAGAAGTAATAGTTTGTACACTTTGATAAAGGCTTCTATGATTTTTGTTTCAAGGAATGTCTTTTCATACTCAGCAATTTGATCTGAAAAATGTTCCTGTCCTTTTGGCTTTTAACTGAATTTTATAGGGAAAAAAAAGAATATTCAAACAATAAAAAGTATGGTAGAAACCTGTGCCATTGCTCATTAAGAAAGAAACTTTAAGGATGACTGGTGTTCTGTTAACCTGGAACCTTGGTGCTGTGATGGTTCCGCATTGGGCTGCGATCTGATGGTCAGCAGTTTGAAACCAACAGCAGCTCCGAGGGAAAGCGATTGGGTTTTCTGTTCCCATAAACAGTGACAGTCTTGGAACCCCCAAGGGGGGGTCACTCTGAGTCAGCACTGACTTGATGGCAGTGAGTTGTGTTTCAATGTTCTGTTTCTATAAAGCTTTACTTATGATTACGTGGTGTAGTTTTTGATAAGAGCTTTCATGCTATGGTTTCTTTTGAATCTAATTAAATATGTGATTTCAAATTTTTTTTTTAATTAGGAAGACTCATTGACCAACAGTCTAACAAACTGGCCAAAGAGGAAATGTTACAAATGATACGACATGGAGCCTCCCATGTTTTTGCCTCTAAAGAAAGTGAGCTGACAGAGGAAAACATCACAACTATTCTGGAACGAGGGGAAAGGAAGGTTGGTTAGCATGACATTTCATTTCCATGATGAATTTCTGTAAGATGAGGATACTTCGGCATACTCATTATTCTAGCATTGGACTGAACTACATGTTTCATGTGACTCATGTACTCTCTCAGAATTCGTAGATTTGGTGTGGGGTTGGGTTTGATTTTTAGTGAGAAAGATTAAGAATCAGCCGTTAACAGTTTAGTAATCTTACACCTCATGCTTATTGAAAATATTGCTTAAAAGTCAAATAATCTTTCTGTTTAAAGACTTGTATTGAAAGACTGCAGTTTTTATTATATATTTTATATAGTGTATAACATATATATAATATATGATTTATAGATTAAGGAGCCCTGCTGGCATAGTGGTTATGAGTTGGGCTTTGAGCAGGATGGACTGCAGTTCATAACCACCAGCCACTTTGAGGGAGAAAGACAGGGCTGTCTACTCCCATAAAGTCTCAGAACCCCACCGGGTCAGTTCTCCCCTGTCCTGCAGGGTTGCTATGAGTCAGCATTGACTTGATGGCAGTGAGTTTGGAGTTTGGGAGCATTTTTTTTAAGTGGATTAGAACTTTATACTAATGTGTGGTATTAATGAAAAATTGTTTATGAATACTGCCAAAGCATTATGTATCAAAGTATCATAAGCTGTCTCAGAATACATGGGGTTTTGGTGTTGAATTTACTTTGAAAAATGATTATGCATAATGTCAAAGCTGTATAAAATAGATATAGTGTGATGTGCCCCCATGCAGACATCACCCAGTTCCAAGAACCGTCAACTTCGCCTCCAGCTACATCCCTTGAATAATTTCTCACCTTCCTGAATTATTTTGAAGCAAATGCCATATATAATATTACAACTCTAGGTATTCCACTGTGTATCTTTGAAATATACAGACCCTTTTTAAAAAATCATATAAAGTCCCTGTGTTGCAATTGGTTGATAGGTCATCTCTACCCCTGCCTCTTAACCTGTTGCTTCCCTCTCCCGTTTATGTAGTCTTTCCTTTGTCTTTGCTTTGATGAAGATCCTGGGTTGTCTTTGGAGTTGCCCATGGTCTGTATTTCGCTGCTTCCATCCCCATGGTGCATTTTGACACGTTTATTCATTTATGACAATTCTCATAAATTGGTTGGATTTTTCTTTAACGGTTTTACTAGCACTTCATACACACATCATACAATTCAACAATTCAATCACTGATTTTTTCCTTTTCGGAAGGCCTTTGTTTTTGTGCTCACATCCCAGATTGGGAGCAGTTAGTATGGCTGTGAACCACAAGGGAAATGTGCTTGCTTTTCTATTAGTATTAGGACTTGACCTCACTAAACGGATGCAGTAGAAATTATGACATGAGTACATCGTCCATGCTGGAAAAATTTGAAAGAAAGCCTCAGAAAAAGTTAAGCATGTAAAAAGTGATGTTGCTATTCAAGTTTGCAGCATTGCTTTCTTATTTTGTGACTTAACAGACTATTTCAGGTCAAAACCTGCCTCTTTGAAAAGGTAGAGAAGGCAGAGATTTTCTTTTATAAGCGAATCAATGGCAGTTTCTAACTTCAATGCATTCAACTTTAGACCGCAGAGATGAATGAACGCTTGCAGAAAATGGGAGAGTCGTCTTTAAGAACTTTCAGAATGGACATGGAACAAAGTTTGTACAAATTTGAAGGAGAAGATTATAGAGAAAAACAGAAGGTAACTCATCACCCTCAACCATTAGAAGCAGATTAGCATTTTCTCCCCATTGCAGCTATAAAGTCACACTGGTACCTGTTGCAACACCTCTGCTACAGATCTGCTATCTTGAATGTATTTTTCTGGTTTATTGTGGGCATCCCCACTATCATCATTCTTGCTGCGGCTGTGGCTGCTGCTGCTGCTCTTCCTACTAATCTTGATCTTGAGGAGCAGTGTCAGATTATGGTGGCGTTCCTGAACTCTGGAGCTGAAATCCCAACTCCATCACTAATTATGTGACTGGGAGCCCAGTCTTCAGACCTACCAAATGGAAGATCTGGTAGTTGGGGATCACAGTGTTATTCTTAGGATTAATATTAACAATATTAATATTAACACAGAGACACTTAAATACCAGAAGGACTTAGTTAGATATATACTCTTGGGCATGAACTGAAGGATTTTGCCTATTATTTCTCATGTGTATATTTTAATATGTTCATGCCTGAACCACAAGGGTGTATTGATGAAATGGGAGATTTCATTCATTCTCTGTCTCTCTTTTCTTAAAGGTAAATAGAAATTAAGGCTATCATAGTAAAAAAGCTTACCTGTGAACTCACTTCAGATTTTGAGAAAATTTGCAGAAACACTAGAGAATTCCCTATCTTCCTCTCTACTTTTTCTATCATTAACCTCCCGAATCATAGTGTCACAATCACCTGAGAAGTCATGGAAAAATTCCCTTTAGTGCCCTATTTACCCCCCTGTTCCATGTAGGCTCACAGACAGCAGTGTTGCTCTTGTATCTCCTTAGTCTCTTACAGTCTGTGACAGTTCCATGGTCTTTAATGACCTCGACACCTCTAAGGTGGTGTGCTGGTCAGTTATGTTGTAGTGTGTCTCTCTCTTTAGGCTGTCTGATCTTTTCTCACAATTCGAGAATTATACTTGGTTTTCCCTACAATGTTGGATCTTTCTTAGAGTGCATTATCCTCAGTACATCTATGATAGCAATGTGGCTTATGACTGGGGATGTTAGCCTGGATTGAAGTAGTCTTGCTGACTTTGTACATTGTAAAGGTCCTGTTTTCCCCATTTTAATTGGTGTATATTGTGAAGGAGATACTCCACAAACGTATTCCCATTAATTCTGGCCCCTATTGGAGGAGCTTGCCTGCCATATGTGGGATAATCTTTGCCTGGCGACAAGTTTTTTTCCTCTCACCCAATTACAACGGGAAGTTACCTGTCAGAGCTGTCTGTTTTCCCCCATCTTTTAATTTCAGTTACTTATTTATATCAGAATGGACTTCTAGATATTTATTTTACTTTTGAGCTGTCATCTAACTATCATCATTAACTTTGTTGCTCCAGTTGTTCCATAAAGTGGCTCTGAATTAATTTTTTTAACTGGCCTAATGAATTTTATTAAAATAAAAAATAATTCATAGGTATTGGTTTTACCGAAAAGTAGAGGTTGGGGGTTGCAGTTTCAATTATTATGCTGAGGATGCTTGGTTGCTGTTATTGCTCCTGATGATTTTTTTTTCTTGGCTCATATCTGGTGGTTCTATCTAGAACCTTGACCCAGACTGCTTGCTTTTTACCATGATGAGATGGAGTTGATGGCATATCCACACAGGGGAGAAGTTATCTTCCTAATAAGCTTTTTAGATCTCATTATGTGATAAGAATTTTATTAATTTTGCAGTGATTCCTGCAGCTTATTTGTACTAAGAGTTTTGTAAAGTTGAAAAAAATTAAGCAAACGGTGAGTCTAAATATCAGTGGAGCTACTCTACATTCTTAGAAGAAAATGCAACTTAGTAAATACCTGTCTTTTCTAATGTAACAAATGTTCTTAGGTAAAGTGCTTCTAATTCTACCAAAATAATGCTATATAGAGATATCAAAAACTAAACTCTAATAAATGTACAAATGTGCTTTATACAATTGATGTATGTATGGATTCTGATAAGAGTTGTATGAACCCCTAATAAAACGATTAAAAAAACAAACAAACAAACCAAACTCACTGCCGTTGAGTAGATGCTTACTCATACTGACCCTATAAGACAGGGTAGAACTGCCCCTGTGAGTTTCTAGGACTCTAACTCTTTACGGGAGTAGAAAGCCCCATCTTTCTCATACTGTATAGCTGTAGCACTGGGAAAAAACCTCACTACCATCAAGTTGATTCCAACTCATGGTGGCCCTGTAGGACAGAGTCAAACTTTCCCTTGTGGGTTTCTGAGACAACAAATCTTGGCTTCCTTCTAATGAGTGTCTGGTGGTTTCGAACTGCCGACCTTGCCATTAGCAGCTCAACTCATAAATGGCACCAGAGCTCCTGATCTGTAGATTTAGAGAAACTTTAATAAAAATGATGATGATGACTTGCATTTGTATAGTTGAGTGCTTGCCAGTAATTTTCCTATCCAAAATTTTATCTGAGCCCGACCCCCCCAATACTGTAAACTGAGATCTGATTTCATTGTCTCTTCATCTTTATTAGGTAGGTTTTCAAAATAGTTTCAAATTTTAAAAACCTGGGAGAGTATTGTTTACATGTAAGTCATGAATGTAGCAATACAATGAGATAGGTTTTCATATCTGATTTGCCACACCACTTTCATTATTAGATAACCATACCTAGGTAATTAAATCATGGCTGATGTTGCTCCTCGAGTAAATTAACTTAATTAAGTTTGTATTATTATGATCTTGTCTAAAACAAACAAGGTCAGTATGACCTACTCTGCTTTGGAAAGTTCAGGAATTGGCTCTTAAGTTTTATTTCCAGTCTAAATCCCTAGGCCTTCAGACAAGCATATGTGGGTTTGCTAACTACATTACTTTTAGAAAGTTAAATTGTTAATTACTTTGCTTTTATCAACTTGAGGAAAGGTTCATTGGTTATTTATTGTAAAGTTTTCCCATTGCTGTCACTTCGTATTAATTCATCTGAAAAATAATACAAACAAATATTGTTTTGCTGCTCTGGGTGTTTCTCATTTTACTTAAACATCACATTATAAAGTTTCTACCTCATAGACTCTTTGAAGATAATTTAAAAGTAATTTCCTTTGACCTTGCTTGTAACTCAAAAATTCTGTCAGTAGCATCTAGGGCAGTTACCCTTGGTGAATGCTGTTACCCCTTTCAGGAGAGGGAATCTCACTAGTGCATATTCTCTTGTTCTTAGAAAACGTCTTTGACTTTTGAGTTTCTTGAAGGGAGGGATTATTCTATGAAGTATATCCCTGATGCTGACTTGACACGTCATTTGTTAAGTTATATTGAGGAGCAGTTTACTTTCTTGTAACTCTTCACATTTGTTTTAATCTTATGAATCAACAAAGAACTCTGTTCTTTTCTTTAAGTAGTAGTTACGTAATGTCGAGCAGCCCTGTAGAGCAGAGCCAAACTTGCCCCCATAGGGTTTCCCAGGTCATGAATCTTTAAGGCAGCTTCCATGCATTTTTCCATCAGAGTGGCGGGTGGGCCCAAACCACGGACATGTTGGTTCACAACCGGTGCCTAACCTTTGCACCACCAGGACTTCATTTTCTATATGATGGACTTGGAGAATGTCACCAGCATAGTTCTCTTCAGTCTTTACTTCTCCAGGCACTGGGAGAGTTTGTAGATCTCTAAGCATCTTAATCATATTAATTTATTATAAACTATGCCAAGGTTGATCTTACCAACTCTTAGAGAAGATCACACCAAGTTGGAACATAATGGCAAAATGCTCCAGGAACTCTTATTAGATCGACAGTTACGTGGCTCAAATGTCAGAAATGAGGTTATTTTCTAAGTCATATGGTAGTTGTTATTCACCCGCTACCTAACACCCCCTCCCCCCATAATCCTCCAGTTTGTTCATCCATCCTACAAGAGTTCTGTTCTGATCCTAGTTTATGTAAAGGCACAATAGGCGAGGCACTGTGAAATCAAGAAACTCAGCTGAACCTTATATTACTAGTTTGGCTTGCTCCCTGTTAAAGTGTCTTTTTTAGCTGATATTGGGGTAAGGTTTGTTGATACTATCAAATCTCTGTTCAGACAGCTTTGGATGTTTAATAATACCTTAAAATTGACTTGTGACTGCTGATACATATGGCCACATTTATTCCTTTCGATATAGTATTATTATTCCCATTTTGCAGATGGAGAAAATACGTCCCCCAAAGTTATCCAGTTGGTCAGGTGGCAGAAAGAACCAGGATTCAAAGCCTGGTCTTGCTGATTCCACTGACTTGTCCACTACACTGCAGCTGCCTTAGCAAAAGGTCGCATTTAACCATTTCTCTTGAGTCAAAGGACTAGGTCACAGTGATAGTCCTCCTTTACCTCTGTCCCCTGTTTTCTCATTCACAGTGTGATGCTTCCTGCTGTAGTAACTAACCTTGCTTTCTTTGATGTAAAATACTAACTGGATGGTACACATCCTTTGCAATGACTAAGGATGAACTCAAATTTAGACGTATTTTTAAAAACAAGCCCTAAGGACGAAAACTATCTTTGGAGCTGCACTTGGGCATACAGTACAATATTTTCAAACCTTAGAGGTTTCAATATGAGCTTATAATGCAACTTGTGATTGTTTCTCATGCCTTTGGTCTTCTTGCTTTGCTGAAACCCAGATGTGCTTTGTTTTTCGAGAACAGTGTGGAATAATGAAACCCTTTGTTCTTGTTTGTTGCGTGTAGCCTGGTATGGTGGAGTGGATCGAACCTCCTAAACGAGAGCGCAAAGCGAACTATGCAGTGGATGCCTACTTTAGAGAGGCTTTACGTGTCAGTGAGCCAAAGGCCCCAAAGGTAAAATGGTCTGAGGCCAGTTGTTCCGTCCTATAATAGAATTCTCTTGTAACGTGGTTTGTGATTTCGATGTACGTCATATTGTTGTTAGGTTGTGTCAAGTGGGTTCTAACTCACAGTGATCCTGTGTACAACAGAACAAAACCCCACCCAGTCCTGCACCATCCTCACAATTGTTGCTTGGTGTGAGCCCACTGTTTGTCCATCCTCCTTGAGGGTCTTCCTCTTTGCTGACCTCAGACGTTACCAAGTCTCCCATGCTCCGATTATGCTGTTGGGTTTCATTTTGAGTCGTACCCCATCAACCAATGAAGGTCCCAAAAGTTTTCCTCCATGGAAGTCGTGAGGGTCAACTCTACGTGGAGGAGGCAACTTTTCCCGAGTCCGGTTTTTAGCACCTTCCATTCTGAAGGGCTCATTTTCTCGCACTCTGATCATGTTTCTGCTCTCCCTAAGGTTTTCAGTGGCGAATCTCTCAGAAGCGGGCTCCCTATTCTTTTTTCCTAATCTGGTCTTAGGCTGAAAACTCTGCTGAAATCTGCCCACCATAGGTGACCCTGCTGATATCTGGAATACAGGTGGCATAGCTTCCAGCATCACAGCAATACACAAGGCACCGCAGTCCGACAAACTGAGGTGGGGGAGATGAACGTCGAACACTGACAAATCATAGTCCCTAAAATATAACAATATAGAAAAGTACTTGATATGCCACAGTCATATATAATGGATTTCATTGCGTTTCTTTTTCCATATATAAAATCAATAACAGCACATGAATATGTTCGCTTCATGCACTGAAAACAAATACAGATATATAATTATATATATAAAATTCATTTTGTTCCCACAGGCCCCACGACCGCCAAAACAACCAAATGTTCAGGATTTTCAATTTTTCCCACCACGTTTATTTGAGCTCCTGGAGAAGGAAATTCTGTATTATCGGAAGACAATAGGTTATAAGGTAATTTAAAAAATTTTAGATTAGCATTATATAATCTCAAACTAATGTAATCTATTAAGATAGAGTAGAAGGTCTTCCGTTTTAATGTAAGAACAAATCAGCATAGTGATGTTTTTAAAGCTAAAGCAGAGATTTAACTAGAAGTAAATCATTAGCTTACTGAGTCACCAATGGTATATCACTAAATGAGATTAATGTAGAATTACCTAGTACTTAAAAATAATAATAATAACAACAATAATAAAAATAGAGTCTATTACTCTACTAGTAATAGTGCTTGGATGATTAAAGTGTATGTAGGAAGAAAAAATGGTTTGTGCATAATAAGAAGTTAAAATGTGACATAATATGGGAAATTTTTGACTATTTTCTTTAATCTGACTCCAAATAGTATTTCTAGGTTTATTGCTGACCAATCGAGGAAAGCCTTGTTGGTTAATAGGAGTTTGTGGATACATTCTAGATGTTAAAGATACTGGTAAATAGAATAATGGATTCTGTACTTTAAAAATGATTGTTTGGAATTCAAAGCTCTTATTTATATAAAGTAGCCAATATCTTATTTTTTTGTGAGTAAAATTTAATATATACCACACACAGTCTATCACATGGAGATACTAAACATGCTGGATTATTCCATGGGTTGAAAAATGGTCTTCTTAGTGGATGGCAAGAAATGACCAATGATATCATAATCAGCATTATGTGCAAAACTGTAAGGATATTCACATGTAGGCTGTTATGCTGTTTTCTGTTTAATGAATTGGAAGCTGTGCTTGCAAAATTGGTTTTGTGAGCACTTTATTACTGTTGGAACTATGTATGACCAGTTGCCATTTCATTTAGTAGGCTGGAATGTGCCTCAAGGCTCCCTGGATCAAGATGTGTACTCATATGGAAGTCGTTGTGTTTATTTTAGACTAGAGTGGTGCTCTCTCTCCAGTGTGTCTACTACATTGCTCTTTGAAACAGAGAGCACCAAGCCTTGCTTTCTGTTTATGTTTCATAACTTAAAAAACTTAAGAGTAACAATAAACATAGGGTGGCTATAAGTGGTTAGTTATCATCTAGTTAGGGAACTATGATTAAATTGGACTGTATTTAAACCAACAAATCTAGATTAAAAAATTCCTTCTTGGGAAATTGTATAAGAGTAATGTAACCCTGGTTGAACATTCAGACCAGGCAGAAAGCCAGTTTCAAAGATAGTCAAAGCAGCGATATACCAGAAGAAGCAGGCAAGTTACAGGTTCAAACTGTAAAATAAAAGTAGTGAAATTAATAATAAAGTAGTTAATGAGATTTCATGAGTTAAACAAACAGCTATTATCCTTGTAAGGTACATGATAATTTTAGGCCTAGCGCATTTTTCCGTTCCTTTATTTAGTGTAGAATTTGTTTAGAAGAGAATTTGTTGGCATGTCAGGCCTCAGGGACTAGCAAACCAAATACACGTGTCGAGCATTTTATCATTTGTGAAATGCTGCCACGTGTACTCTGTTGGATTCATAACAACTTGTTGAGGGTAGGTCTTACCACGTCTGCTAACCACAAAGGTCAGCGATTCAAATCCACCAGCTGCTCTGAGGGAGAACGATGACAATTTCGGGAATGGTATGTAGGGTCACTAAGAATTGGAATAACCTTGCTGGTAGTGGAGCTTTTGGGGTTGCATAGTTGGAAACACAAGGTCAGAAAGATTCCATGACTTATTCAAGGTTACACGGCCAGCAGAGTTGTTGTGGGCGCTGGCCTTGAACTTAGACAGTCAGTATTCAAATGCTATGCTCTTTGTCCACTCGTATCATCTGGGCAATTTCTTCTTTTTTTCTTCTGGGAAATCTCTGCATGTGGTGTCACCGTGCCTGTTTCTGAAGTTCTTCAGTAAGGACTCTGGTAGCAGTGGGGTGGGGTATTGTTTGGGAGATGGACCAAGTGGTAGATAGCAGCCCCCAAACAAAATCACCCCTGATGACATAACTGTTTTTACTTCCTGATTGGAGAGACTGAGATTGTGTCCCTGTGAGCATTACAGTGCCCACCACATCCTGGCCGCAGCTCTGGTTTTCATGTACACAGTGGCCTTCCTGACAGGCAGTTTGTGGTAAGGCGGGGAGAGCTGCGATGACTGGTTGGATGGTGGCCAACTGGAGGGAGGTAACGAGGGAGGAAACCTCAGCGGAGACCGGAATGAAAGGCAGCTGTGAAGGAAGAGGGAGCACGAAGAACACAAAAGGCTGAGCAGGAGAAGCAAACTGGCAGGAGAGCCTTGTTTGTGCCTCTTGCTGTTTTCCTCATTTCTCAGGAAGGACAGAAGAGGGAGACCGAGACAAAGGAGGACCTTTTTTTCTTTTCAGTATTTATTTATAGAGCACACTTCTGTGCCATGTCCCGTGCTAAGTACTAGAGAGACAGTGGTGAATAAGACAGACCTGGGTTATCTCCCTCTGACCCCCCTCCCCGCCCCACCTTGTAGAATTTCCATTCTAATGCAGAGGCAGACATTCAACAGATCCCAGTGTATGATGGCCTTATATGTGAGGTTAAGTGATTAACAAGTGCTCTAACATGGACTGGAAGATCAGAGAAAGGGCCTTAGTCCACAGTCATTTAAGCTGAGGTCACAGAGATGAGTAGCAATCAGCCAAATAAAGTATAGGAGAGAAAAGCCAGACAGAAGGCACCTTATGGTCTTGAGTTAGGAGAAGGGAATGATAGTGGACCAATTCCCTACACCTTATCCTGGCCTTGGCTTTGTAACACCATAAGGCATTCTTCTCTTGAACCACTGTAGAGTCAGATCATAGTCTTTATGAAGAAAACAAACCCGTGGAGTGTATTTTAACTCATGGCAACTTCCAGGTGTGAGTGCAGAACTTTTGGGGGCTGTAATTTTTATGGAGGAGTTCAGTAGTGAGTTATATGTTGGGCTGCTAACTGCAAGGTCAGCAATTTGAAACCATTAGCACTGGTGGTATAGTGCTGGCGCACTGCACTGTTAGCCCCAAGGTTTGAACCCACCAGCGAGTTTGTGGGAGGAAGGTGAAGCTGTCTTATTTCTGTAAAGATTTAAAATCTCAGAAACACTACGGGACAGTTGTAGTTTGTCTGATAGGGCTGCTGTGAGTTAGAATGAACTTGACTGGCAGGAAGGATTTTGTTGTTGTTTTGTGTTAGCTATTCCTAGGGAGGTTTTCTGCTCCTGTAAATATGTCCAGTATTGGATGTCCTTTGGGGCAGTTCTACTCTGCCCTATAACATCACTAGGAGTCAGAATCAACTTAGTGACAGTTTGCTTTGCTTTTAAATCTTTATGGGAATAATTCACCAGGCCATTCTTCCTTGGTGCCACAAACCTTAGAGCCCTGCTAGGTCATAGTAATGAGGTTGATAACCCTTTAGGGCCAAGGAAGAGCACTGGCATGCTTTCTAAGACAGGGAGGTGTGAGTGGTGAAATGATAATAAAAGCAGTTACATCTCTGGCCCATCCTTGTTATGTTCTTCCTGAATAGTAACTCATTATCCTTCTACATAGTCCTGGAGTGAGAGACATCCTATTCACCACTTGAGGATGCTAAGCCACTGAAGTTGAGTGATTTGCTCACAGTCATAACTTAGTAGAGTGTGATCAGGTTTGCATTCATTCTAGCTACTATGCAGGGAATGGAAGGTGTCTAGCCAGAGAAATTAAGCATGCAGCTCTTGAAATACCAGCTCAAGAGATGTTGGGGGCTTGTACTAGGGTGTTGAAGGCTGTGGAAGGAGAATTCGTTCTCTACACCTTCTCTGAGCCTTGACTGCTTCTCATTTCCATCTGAATTGCTTCTGTATTGTCTTAAGACATGTCTTGATCTTCCCTGTGCATATTTATCTGTGGGTTTACAAGGTAATCATACATTCTCCTTCTTGGCTCTTGCTATTAACTTGTCTCTTTTATTCTTTATCAGGAGCTGTGAACCTGGGTTCATCGATTGAGTAGTTTTTTTGGAGTCCAGAGTAGACAGATCCACAGAGTATGTTAATCATCTGCAGACCTTGCTTTTAATGATAATGTGATACAGATCCATTAGGTCACAGGTGGTGAGCATTTTTTCTGCCAAGGGCCATTTGGATACTTAAAAGATCAATTGGGGGCCATACTGGTCAAACATTTAAGTAATTCACCCTTAATCTTCTGACTGGAACTGCTTCTCTTTGGTGAGGCATGGGATGTTAGCTGGTATTGATAATTTCACAGGCCTTTTATGGCTTGAGGGCTGGATTATCCCCACCCTTGCTTTAAATGGATCTTTTCAAGGGATACCTAGCATTTTTTAAAACTTCTTACATCTTTTGAAAACCTACTAGGCCCCCCAAGTGAATAGAGCAATAATTATTCTTAGGTCAACAAACCTGTTGTAATACAAGGGGCCTTCAAAAAGTTTGTGGAGAACAGATGTTTACAAATACTTTTTTTTTCTTGTGGATTGGGTGGTTTCTAGAGTAGATCCTCAGTTTTCCATTCAGCAGTGTCCACACATTTGTTTCATGTCATCGATGGCAGTCACCACATCTTTATCTCACTCCCTTCCCTATGTTTTCTGTGCCATTCATCCTTTTCTTCCCTAACCCCTCTGAATGTTGTCCTTGGGTAAATGCTGCCCTTTTGATAGAAAACGGTTGCCCTATTGTAAGGTGTTCTTACCTCACTGATGTCATTGCTCCCCATAGAGCCTTGTCAATTGTTTGGCTAAAAATTGAGCCATGGGAGTGATAAGAGTTCAGTTCCAGGACTGGAGGGTAATTTAAGGGCCCTAGTCTTAAGGATTCCACTAGTCTCTATCCATCCAGTAAGCTGGACTTTTTTGCACAAACTTTTGAAGCCCCTTGCTACAGTTTTATACTTTATACATGTGACCAGGTTTTCAGTGTTTCCCCTCTGGCTCAATTATTCTTAGCCCAGGGAAGAGCATTTATCTATCATTCGGAACACTCTAGCACATGGTAATATTTTGTTACAGTATTCTTTGAGGGCCTGCATATTTTGCATTTTTGTTTTCTATTTTGTGACAAATCACCCCCATTTCCTCAGAATTCAGCACAAGGACACAACATTATTACTGATAATAAGATCTGGCGGTAGAGGGTTTTGTTTTATTGTTCCATAGGGGAAGACTTTGTTTTGCCCTAACCACTTGGTAGATAGCAGTACTTTATGTACCAATTCTTCCCACCAGCTAAGCTTTGACCTTGATGGAATTTAGTCATACCCAGGAGCTAACTTGCTCTTGTGACTTAAACGAGTTGTTATTTAATGCATTCAACGAGTTCTTCCCTGAAATGTTTGCGCTAGAAAAGGATATCTTAGCTGATGTTTCGGTTGTAGAATGAAAACAATCAACCTGCAGAGTATCTAACAGTTCAGTTGACTCTAAGACATGAAGCGAGAGCTTTGCTATATTCAAAACTGAAGAAAGCTACAGAACATTCTGACAGTTTTCTCCACTAATTTTTTTTTATAGCTAGATCAAATGTTTGACAAGCAGAAATCTGTCCATGATCTTTGTGAGTAATGTATTATTGTAGGCTACCTAGTGTAAAGTGGTCTCAGGAAAATGAGGTGAGCTGATTTTAGGTTAGTGTTTTCATTTTGTGTGCTGTCACATTTAATTCAGCATCCTATATTTCTCTGAAATGCTCCCTAAAATGCCATCTCAAAAAATTGACCAAAATTTTTTCCACTTCTCTGTGGAATATAGCTCTTAATCACAGATTGTTTAGGGTCTGACTAGAGATCCAAGGTAATAATTTCAAAGGCTCCTTTTGAAAGCTAACTTTTATGTATTGTGATTTCATTATACGTTTATGGGAACCATACCAAGACATAAAGTAGGAGTACCTGAGCTAGCTCTTAGATCCCTGTTGAGTATTATTAGTCTATAATGTTTTGACTTGATTCTTGGAGAGCACTTTAAACTCATTCCACAATGTATGAGAACCTCAGGAAAAAAATGGATGGTTACTTTTTTTAGAATGGTAAGCATTGAGATTTTAAAAATATCTTTGGTAGGAGGAGAAACAGGATTTTTAATCTGCTTCCAAAATTTGAGCAGCTATGAGCTTGAATAATTTCTAGGATTCAAATTATGGATGTAAGATTGCTGAAGCCATTGTGAAGTTTTACTCGGTTAGAAATATGACCAGTGGCTGTGGATGATCGTTTGCAGTGGATCCTAAAACCTAATGGTTTGATACAACTCCCGGCTTTGTTTGCAGTGTGGTGCTATGATGGTAAAGCCACTGAAAATTCTCGGAAGACTCTTTGCACGGATACATTTTCATTTCTTTGGGTAAATAGTAGTAGAATTGCTGTTATGCATGCCGTTCTAAAAGTGAATTTATCTATTACAAATATTGTTAGTCATGCTTATGCTCTACTTTGGTTTTTCGTCCATGCCTTCCTTTCCATTTTCATTTACCAACATCCTAGGCCAGGTGATGATACTACATTTCTCGATTATGAACGCTTAGCTGGTTCTCTCGCTTTCAGCTGCTTCCCTGCTTCGATACATTCTGTGCAAGACTTGGCAGGTGAAAATACACCTTTGACACCTTGCTCTCATTCAAAAAATCTGTGCTAACTTGCTGCTGCTTACTGTGCAGAATTAAGGGCTTTTAAATGTCTCCACCTGTCCATACTTCTTATCCCTTCTCAATTTAAACTCTATATGCTCCTTCCTGGACACACCTGCCTTCATATTTTTACTCCAGCTGAGCATACCGTTCCAGTATTCTCCATCTTGTTAAATCCTAGCATTTGTAGGAGCATTTGTAGGATACAGCGCAAAATTCCACATGAAGGACCCATCTACTACTTTTATGTGTTTATCAGTACTTAACGATAGTACTAAAACCATAAGTAGACCTTCTGCCACTACTTTTTAAGCTGATAGTGATGATGAAAAATGAATCTTTTTTTTTCATTATATCTTTTTTCTTGCACAGATGGTAAGTTTTGTAAGGGAAACTATTAGATATAATAGTTGCTTACAATATTTATTTTAAGTTACAATGCTATAGTTTCCAATTCTATGAAATATATATTACAATTAGAAAAATATATTAATGATAATTGTAGTAAAATCATGACTTTCCAACACCCTGAAAAAGAAGTCATTTATGATAGGTGTGAATTTCAAATGATGGAAGGTTGACTGTCAACTCTTTTATTTTCATGCTTAAGTAGAATACTTTAAAGAGGAGTGATGTTAAGTTGAAGATACATGGAAACAATTAGTCCACTGGACTAATGGGCTCTCTCAAGCACCAGTGTCCACAACCCCGAGATCAGAAGAACTAGATGGTGCCCAGCTACCACTGGCAACTGTTCTGAAAGGGATCGCATTAGTATGTCCTGGAGAGAATGGTGAAAAATATGTGGAGCAAAGATCAAAATCATAAAAGAGACCAAGGTTACTGGCAGAACCTTTAAGACTACATGGACCCTTCAGCCACTACATTTTAAGTTGTCTGGTATTGATGATGGATTGTCTGGTATGGATAGACCAAAGGACCCTTTGTCACCTTTTAGGCCCAGAACTAAGCTCACTTCTGTGGCTCAGTTTTCAAACAATAACACTAGGTAGGCACACACATCTGAGATCAAAAGGGGGAGCATTTGCCCAAGGAAAATGTTCAGATGGGTTCGGGAAAAAGGAGATACAGAAATGGGAAATCTAGAGAGGAAATGGGATGAGTGATGATACTTGGTGGGAATTGTAATCAATGATAACAAACAAAGTGTGTATAGTAGTTGAATGTAAAACTCTTCTGCCCTATAAGCTTTCACCCAATTCTCAATCATAAAGTTCAAAAATGTACTGTTATATACATACCCTCTTAAATGCATATGGTGCACTGTAGTTGTAGGTGCATCTAGAGATGACAACAGGTGTTGGGTGGAATGAATTTGTTTTCCCCTCCATACAAGGAATGCTGTATAATACTGCTGGGCCTTATTGCTTATATATGTTAGTTGTGAGCTGGTGGTATATAGTGAGTTAAATGTTGTGCCACTAACGGCAAGGTCAGCTATTCAAAACCACAGGAGAAAGATGACGCTTTCTGTTCCAGAAAGAGTGATAGCCTCAGAAATCCACTCTCCTCTAGAGTCAGTAGGAGTTAGAACTGATGCAAAGGCAGTGAACTTGTGTTTGTGACACACGGAGACCTTTAGGGGCTACAATTTTAAGATCCAAGCAGACTGCTTACCTGGAGAGTCGAGCTTCTATTCTCTGTTTTTAATGAAGAAATCCTTTATTTTTCAGTTGTCAATACAGCTGAAGCGTGACACTCATTCCACAGGGCCACTGCTGCCGCAACCTTTTTGTCTGACTGCTGCTCCAGTTCCTGCTGTTGGCATACTTGGCCACGCCCTTGCTCCTTGCATTCTCTCCTTCCTTAGCAATATTGTTATGATTTGGCTTCTTCATGATCCTGTCACTTCTTTCAGAATTTCCTTTTCCATATGAAGTTGATGTCTCTGTATGTCTCAGCAGGCAGTAAAAACCCTTCTTTCTTTCTGCATGTTGAGCTGATCAGAGATTTGGATGTAATCTTGAGGTGCATTGCCACTTCTCTTGTCTATATTTCTGGGTGGATACAGAAGATACAGGTCTTTATTTCTTTTTACTGCCATTTTCTGCTTCTTTCTGCTAATCTTTACATTTTATTGTCAGGGGATAAGGATATTTTGTTCAGTTATCACTATGCATTACAATGCTACAGGGATGCATTTTGTTTCACAGTATGATCAAATCTCAAATACAATGGAGTATTTATTAATGAGGGTTAATCCTATAATACTATACTGCACAATTAAGAATAGGCTTTATCATGGTGATGTCATGCCAGCAGAAATGTGGAGCGAACCATGTGTCGTTCTTGGTGTTTGCAGTTGAAACGATTGAAGATTGCTATGTGTATATACACCCTGACGAATGGCATGTTCTCAACAGCATAGTCATAGCTTCTCTATTGATTTATAGGTCCCAAAGAATCCTGATCTCCCCAGTGCAACTCTGGCTCAAAGAGAGGAGCAAACAAAGATTGATGGTGCTGACCCGCTTACGGCAGAAGAGACTGACGAAAGGGAAAAACTTCTCACACAAGTAATGTATTTTTACTGGCGAAAGTAGTCTGGTTCACCATTAGGAAAGGATACAATATAGATGACAATTTCCCTTAACATTTTTTAAATTGTGGTAAAAATATAGGCAACTAAGTAAAAATGTATCGCTACTAAGATTGTGGTTCATATATGTCCAAACAAAGCATGGATGGCTGCAGACACATTCTCTCAGTAATATACTTGTCTTAGATGCCTTAGGGTGCTGCCCCCGCCAAAGGGGCCCAATGAAAACAGTGGCTTCCAGGGCGATATGCTGGGCTAGTGAAATTTAAGGAAGAGAGGTCAGCTCCGGAGGCTTTGGCAGGTCTTGCTGGTTGGCTTGTTACCCGAAGGGGTCACCTTGATAGAGTTTTCTCAGAGGACACAGGGTTATGGTGAGTGCTTACTATGAAAAAAGTTCAAGAAGGTACATTGGAGAGGAGAAGGCCGGGAAAGTTGTGTGGAGGATTTTTCTGTTTCCCATCATGAAAATGCACCTGCTTACCCAGGAGCCTGGTATTGTAATGGGTGACGTGTGGGGTTGCTACCGTCAGGGTCAGCAGTTCCAAACTACCAGCTGTTCCATGGGAGAAAGGTTAGGCTGTGTGCTCAGTTGGGTTCTCTAGAGAAGCAAAATCTGATGTGCATGTGCATTGTGTTTAGAAAGACATTTATATCAAGAAATGGCTCACAACATTGTAGACCTAGGTAAGTCCAGTCCACTTCAAGTCAGGCTTCTCTTGACTCATGGAAGCTGATGAACAGGAAGTAGGATGAGGAAGCAGTGACAGCAGGGGGCACAGATTGGAGATTGAAGAAGTTTGAAGTCGGCCACTGACTGCTTCTGGGCATTCCCCCTTTGGAACTAACCCCTCTAAACCCAGAGAGCAGAGAGTTTTAGAGACGGGAAGCAAAAATGTGAGTGGGTCACTAGGGGTGGTGATACTGAGCAGTGCCAGTCCGGCTCCCACCCATTGGTTCCTGGACCCATGTATCCTGGCTATTGGAGAAACAACACCAGATACTGGCCACTGGTTTAGTGCATAGACAGTCTCCTAGAAATTGTTGTTCCAACCATGCAAAGGTGTTGACACATAGCTGGCACCATAATTGTGTCTTTAGAGATCATTCTATCAAGCCAGCTATCTTGGGATGATTGGGAACATGGTAAGATCAGAGAATTCCATGACCATAGGCCCACCGTCATACTTCACTTGCTGTGAAGTGAGCCCCTTGATCTGAGGTGATGCTGTACGGGATACCGTGTCAGTGGGTGAGACATTCTGTTAAGTCCACGAATGATAGTTTTGGCAGAAGCACCGTATGCTCAGAAAGCAAATCCCTATCTAGAGTAAGTGCCTATTCCAATACAAACAAAATAACAAAATGCTGCTCTTTTCATGAAGGAAGTGGTCCTATGTAATCAACCTGCCACCAGGTTGCTGGCTAATTCCCTCCACCCCCAGCGGAGGAATGGTCCCATATTTTGGACTCAGTGTTGGTCTCTGCTGCTGGCAGATTGGGCAGTAGGCAGTAGCAGTAGCAATCTTGGTGAGTGCAAGTCCATGTTGCTGAGCCCGCACAAAATCTCCATCCCTGGCACTACGGCCCTTTGTTTCTGTGCCCATTGGGCAAGGAAAGAGAGGCTGGGGGATGATGATGACTGGTTTCCACAGGAGCCCAACCTGTTAATCAAGTGGTAGCTAGCCTGATGATAGTGCCTAGAGGACGTGGCCTTTTGTGTATGAGTGAGAGACACTGGGAACTGCTTTGTTTCTGCCCTTTGCCTCCCTGCTTGCTGGTACTCTGTGCCTGCCTCCAGGGGTGGCCCCATTTGAATCACCTTAGCCTAGGGCTGTCAGTGCCCTTCCATGTTTCCACAGACCTTGGATCTACATGGCTTTGTACCCACTGGCCTGTGATCTCCCTACTTCCCGCTTCAATTTCAGCAGTATAATCCTGCACTATGTGAGTCTGAAGAGGATCCTTGGCTAGCGTCGAACCTATGGACTTGAGTTAAACTGGGCTGGGGTACCTTCTCGTTGGAAATTGGCTTCTTAATATAAGGTTTTCTTGTACATAGATGAGTAGTCCTGGTTTGTTTCTCTGGAGAACATAACCTAACACAGGCAGTCTGCCCCATAAAAATTTGCAGCCTTGGACGCCCAAAGAGGGGCAGTTCTACCTTGTCCTGTAGGATCACTATGAGCTGGAATTGATTGAATGGCACTGTTTTTGTTTAGTTTTTTTTTTGTTTTGGTGGGGGCGTTACTTTTGGAGGTGTGCAAGTACTGTCTAACGAGAATGTTATTTGGAAGCCTTGTTCCATCCACTCTGCAGCCCTGAGTTTGCTCCTTCAGACTTTTTTGTTCCCCCAAACTTAAAAAAACATGTAAAAGGAGGCTCAAACTGCTGTTTTGACATGGTATAAACCAAAGGGTTCCAAATTCTTCGAGGAAGTGTTAGCAAAATGAGAGCCCTGCCTTCAGAAGTGTGCAGAGCTAGCTTCTCATTTTTATATGTTTACTTAGTAAATATTTCCGTGATTCTGTAGGAAAGTTACTCATTGGACTGGTCCCCACAAATTCAGCAGTTCTAAACCACCAGCTGCACTGCAGGAGAAAGTAAGTTTTCTGCTCTCCTAAAGATGTGCAGTCTTGGAAACTCACAGAGGCAGTTCATTCGATGGCAATGAGTTTGATTTCTGGTTGTGCCTCTTCCAGGGCAGACTTGAATGTGCGTGTGGAAGTTTGTGGTACTTTCAATATTCTTTGCCAGCACCATAATTCAAATGCATACATTCTTCTTCCTTCTTCAATGTCCAACTTTGATATGCATATGAGGCCATTGGCTTGGGTCACGCACACCTTAGTCCTTCAAGTACCATCCAACATCCTTTTTCAACACTCTGAAGAGGTCTTGTGGAGCAGATTTACCCAATGCAATGTGTCATTCGATTGCTTGACTTTTGCCTCCATGAGCATTGACTGTGGATTCAAGCAAGATGAAATCTTTGACAACTTCAGTCTTTTCTCCCTTTATCCCCTATTGGTCCAGTTGTGAAGATTTTGGTTTTCTTTACATTGAATTGTAATCCAGATCAAAGGCTGGAATATTTGATCTTCAAAAGCAAGGACTTGCAACCCTCATTGTTTTTCAACCAGCAAGGTTGTTTCATCTGCATGCTGCAGGTTATGAATAAGCCTTCCTCCAATCCCGAGGACACATTCTCCTTCATATAGTCCATCTTCTTGCTCAGCATAGAGACGTGTTTCCTATTTCTTTTCAAATGTTACAAACCAACAATAGGCATTCACTTTAAAAAAGAAAAACTCATTGTCATGCTGTCATTGAGTAGATTGCCTGCCTCAGAGTAGCCATGTGGGCTGGAGGACCGAGTAGAGCTGATCCTGTGGGTTTCTGAGGCTGTACATCCTGATGGGGACTGAACAGTCTCGTCTTTCACCTGTGCAGCAGCTCGTGAGCTTGACTTGCCGTCCTTGTGGCTAGCGACTCAAAAATGAACTCGCAGCACACCGCTAGAACTCCTGGCTCCTAACTAGTTTTGGACATTTCACATTTTATTACTGTTAGCTTAAATTGCCTTCTGAAATGATCATTTACTGATCTTTTACTAGGGAGCCCTGGTCGTGTAAATCGTGAGTTACATGTTCAGCTGCTAAGTACAAAGTCTAGTTCAAAACCACCTGTCACTCTGCAGAAGAAATCTGAGGCTTTCTGCTTCCCAAAAGATTAGTCTCAGAAACCCACAGAAGCCGTTTTACTCTGTCCGATTGGGTCGCCAGGAGTCAGAGCTAACTCGACAGCAGTGAGTTTGGCTTTTGAGTTAGATCTTTTACATGGTGACTCATTTTGAAATTTCTCCAAACGTCTTTGGACCTTTTACGGAAAAACCTTTAATATGGCTAAGAGAGATGTCTGAACCTTTCCTCTATGATTTTGTATAGTAAGAACTGTTGTTGCTGTTATTGAGTCAATTCAGACTCATGCCCACCCCTTGTGCTACAGAGTCGAACACTCCATAGAGTTTTCATGGCTGGAGTCATGCTGACCTAGTAGCTATGCGTTGGGCTGCTAAACCACCAGGTCAGCAGTTCCAAACTGCCAGTCACTCCGAGGGATAAAGACAAGGTTTTCTACTTCCATAAAGAATTACAGACTCAGAAACCCACAGGGGCCATTCTACCTTGCCGTAGAGGAGAGAATTATGAGTCAGCATCAACTCGATGGCAATGAGCGAATTTCATCTTTATGGAAGCAGAGCTCTAGGCCTGTCTTGTGTGGTGCTAGCAGTTGGATTCCAGTGGCCAATTTTGAAGTTAGTAGGCTAGTGGTAGGCTCTCTTGTGTTACTGAGGGACCTATACTTAAAAACTGATAGTTATTAAGTAGAGAGTGTTTCAATTTGAGCAAGCTATTGATGTCTTCATGCCATTGTTGCTTTGAGATTTGAGTGTCATGCTTCCAAAATGCACAGTAAAAGATAACATTTTAGCATAAAAGACCCTCACACAATAGTAGAAAATGTTTATTGCAGAACACGAATTGCTCGCAAGATTTACTCATTCAACACTTTTTTTTTGGTAGCACTAGGACTATACCACATTAATTATTTAGATACAGTCTTTGGTATTAATATGTTATTTATTATATAAGGCTTTTCATTGTTATGTGTAATTTTGTTGAATGAATTTTTAAAAATTACCTTCACAATATTTTGAGCCAAATGCCTGGAAGTCATAAAGTTTAATTTGTAATATAATTACAGTTGGCTGAATATTATGACTAACCACAAAATAAAAGAAAAACTTTTAAATATTTATGTTTTATTTTTAAAATGTATTTCCCGAACACAAAATGTTACTATCTTCGAATGCTACTGAGCTCGGAGTATATTGTGAAGGTAGTGTATTGTGAATAGAGGAGGGTAAGTCCAAAAGTTCTGCTATGGAATCATCATTAGGTGCTGTTGAGTTGGTTCCAATTCAGTAACCTTATATAACATACAACAGAGCAAAACACTGCCTGGTGCAGTGCCACTGTCACAATTTTTGCCCTATTTGAGCATATTGTTGCAACCTGGGTCAATCCCTCTCCTCGGTGGTCTTCCTCTTTTTCCCCAACCCTCTCTCTACCTTCACCAAGCATAATGTGCTTTTCCAGCAACTGCCCTTTCCGGACAAGAAGTCCCACCATCCTGCATGCTGGCTTTACTTCCTCCGTGACAGAATTGTTCGTTCTTCTGGCACCATCCATTGCCCAGCTTTCACGTGCCATTGAAAGTACCATGGCCTGGGGCAGGTGCACCGTAGTCTTCAAATGGACATCCTTGATGCTTATCACTTTAAAAGAGGTGTTTTGCAGCAGCTGTGCTAAATTATGCTGTCCTTTCCTTGACTGCTGCTTTGCTGAGCATGGATTGTGGATCCAGTGAAACCCTTGCCAACTTCAATCTCAGCTCTGTTTATCACAGTGTTTTATATTGGTCCAGTTGTAAAGGTTTATTGTTTTCTTTACATTGAGCTGTAATCCATACTGGAAGCCTGTAGTCTTTGATCTGCAAGAGCTTCAGGTCCTCCTATCCTCGCTTTTCAGCAAGCAAGGCTGTGTCCTCTGCATATTGCAGGTGGTGAGTGAGCCTTCCTCCAACCTGATGCCAAGTTCGTCTTCTTATAGTTCAGCTTCTTGGATTATTTACTCAGTATACAGATTGAATAAGTATGGTCAAAGGATAAAGCCTCAACACACATTTTTCCGGAATCATACAAACCTTTATTAAACAAAAATACAAATTGCTTCTCGACATCTCCTTCATTTAGGTCTCTATACTTCTGCAGCCAGTGTTTCCATCTTGCTAACCCTTAACCCTAAAGAATTCTGCTCTTTGATTTACACTGTGTCCAAATGGCAGTTTTGGTATCCTCTATGAATTCAAATCATGCCTTTTCGAGTTTAAAGAACAAGAAAAAAGTCAGAAGGGTGAGATCAGGGATATAAGGTGGATGGAATAAGGCTTCCCAGCATCATCCTTAAAAACACAGCTCTTCAAAGAATGAGAAAATGCAGTCATGATGGGAAAAATTTCCTCAATATAACTTCCCTGGTCTTTTCCTCACCAATGCAATTTTCAGTTTTCTTAAAACTTCTTTCTTCTAAGTCCTTGTGATGATCCTCTGTGTGTCCTCTGAGATAATCTATCAAGATTGCTCCCATGGAATGCCCCCTCCAAGAAAAACCAGTTGTCATAAGCATCTGACCATTCCACCTTAAACTTAACTGGTCTAGTAGACCCCCTCACAAGCCATTTTTTATTTGACCTTGCTATCTGGATTTATGATTTATGTGCTCATGTGGAACTTGTATGTGGATCAAGAGGCATTTGTGCAAACAGCACAAGAGAATATTTCATGGTTTAAAATCAAGAAAGGTGTGCAGTGGGGTTGTATCATCGCACCATGCTTACTCAATTTGTATGCTGAGCAAATTATTGGAGGAGCTGGATTATATCAAGAATTCAGCATCAGAATTTCAGGAAAGGCTTTGTGCATCTAGTACTGGGATAGTGGGCCTCTGTAAAATATGGGATGAAAAAAATCACACAATATCTTCAAACTATAAATCAGTGTTGAGTACTTGTTGAGAAATACATTTTCCACAGGGTAGAGACACCATTATTTCTATAACAATTCTTACTCGACTTCTGATTCTGACAAAAAATCTGGGATTTAATGAATGTTTCAAATCTTTAAACAGTTTTCAATGTACAATTGTGTAGGAGCAAACAGAACAAAGATTTAATTTATTCATTTCACTTCAGTTGGTGTTTACTTTTGTTCACAGGGATTCACAAACTGGACAAAGCGAGATTTTAACCAGTTTATTAAGGCAAATGAGAAGTATGGAAGAGATGACATTGATAATATAGCTCAAGAAGTGGAGGGCAAGTCCCCGGAGGAGGTGATGGAATATTCAGGTTTGTTGATACTTTGAAGCACGGTAGTTTTTTCAGCCATATTCATTTATTTGGTGCCTATTGTACCATTGCACAGCAATCTTTTAAACTTCTATGAATAGAATTTAGGTGCAAGTATAAATGTATACTCTTTTCTATAAAGAAATTATAAGATTATCACAGACATGGACTTCCTCTATCTCTAGTAGTTAGCTAATAGAGCCTAGTACAGCGGTATTACCTGAAATAATAAGGGTGGCTTTTGGATGGAAGAGCACTGAAAAAAGTAATTTTTAAATTTTCCTACCTGTAATAATGATGTGGGGGTAGCATCTGACCTCCTCTAAGAGGAGAGGGAGCAAATCAAACTCCTCAGGCCAAGGCTGATTCCTATGAGGTGGGAATATACCTCCAACATACCTCCACCCTCCAATCTTCTTTACCAGTTCTAACACCAGCCATTTATCTACTGCCCTGTACTTCTCTGCTGGGTTCAATACTTTGTAGTCACCACATAGAACTCATGGATAATACTCACAATCATGAGGTTTATTGGGAAGTTAACAGGTTCCAAATCAGGATCACATATGCTCAAGACATAGTTCTTCTAGACAATCCCTTTTCTCAGCTTTGCTGGCAGACACATCTTCTCCATGCCTCCACCCCTTGGTCATGTGGACCCTTGGTTTCCGCTCTATTTGGACAGGTATTACAAAGCTGGTTTAGCACTGTCTACAAATTCATTTTCAGTCCAAAGGAGACTTCACTCTGGCATAGCCTTAGGCTGTAGTTCCATTCTTCAGCAAACATAGTTCCCTGATGAAATGCCTGCAGGCACTCCTCTTCCTGGAAGGCACACAGCTTAATATGCTTCATGGATCAGGAAGCCTGCTAATCTGCCGTCTCGTGCTTTCGGTCCTGCAGCCTCTGCTACTACTGCTTCTCCATCACTTCACTGTTACTTCTACAGGACCACGGCCCTGTCTCTTGGATCAAAGAGGTTCAGTGCAGGGCTCTTGCCATCTAAAGGATGTGTTCTCCTGCCATTTCTTTCTTGATAGTCCTGATTTCCCCTTCCTGCTCTGAGATGCCTCAATTTATACCCAGTGCGGCAGCAAAATTAATCAATCCCCAATTTTTACAATCACAATTGGCCTTATTACTCATGATGGACTCATAATCCTCCTATTAGCACCTTCTCTTACTCATATCCATCCTGAAAAAATCATTTAGTGGGAGATAGAGGCTATGGCTAGAAGAGCCATATCAAGTAATTCATTGCACCATACCAACTTGGGAAATTAGCTCTCTTATAGTCCAGCTCTCAGGTTCAGTGGATTGAATTAGTGCATTTCTAGGTTTCCCACGAAGTAGAGAGTTTTCTGCCAGACTCATTTAGAGCCCCATATACTAGGGTGCTTCAAAAACCTCATGGAAAATGGACTGAAAAGGTGATGGAATTTTCCCACAATCTTTTTGAAGTCCCCTTATATGTAACACCAGGCTTCAGAAAAGCAAGTTCAACAAAAATAGAGAACTAAGTCTAGCGAGTTTTCTGTGTGTCGAACAAAGGAAGCTACTGCCTCAAATTCTGTTTGAATATCAGCTTTTGGGAATTTAGAGCATAGAAACCCACAGAAACAATATACTGTGAAATGGACTATCTGCTCGCATCCCCTGCTACCTGCTCCTGTTTGTTTATCTTAACAAGTGAAATTCCATGTTTTCATAATGAAAAAAGAGCAGGAAAGAGATATTACAATCCTACTAAATAAACCAAAGATCAATGCTGATTGGGAGCAGCCTTTAATTTATTTCACCTGCTAGTGCTTGAAGAAATCCAGGTTTAATTAGAGAGGGAGACTTAAAAAAAAACTTGAAAGGGCTTCTGTTGATAACGAATGACTTTAGAGGTTGCTTGTATTGTTTATTTCATATAATATAGCATCAACTGTGTGAATCTTCTTTCCCTCGATAGTGCTCCTGCACTATCCTGCACTACTTTTAAGGTTAATAATCTAAGTTGAGGTTATTTGGGGACTTAAAGAGAGACTGAATAAGTGGAAGAGACATGTTAAGAGCCAGAAGATGAATATAAAGAAGGTATCAGGATGGGTGGAAAGATTTTCTGAAGTGGAACTTCCTTTTTTTTTTGAAATCATTTTATTAGGGGCTCATACAACTCTTATCACAATCCATACACAAATCAATTATGTAAAGCGCATTTGCACATTCATTGTCCTCATCATTCTCAAAACATTTTCTCTCCACTTAAAACCCCGGCATTAGGTCCTTATTTTTCCCCTCCCTTCCCCTCCCCCCTCCCTCATGAGCCCTTGA